GTCGGAAGACCTTTTATAGGTCGTTTACCAAAAACTATGTCAATCATCAATTGCTGGCAATGACAGCTAAGAGTTCAAAAACCTAACTCTCCTAGAGTACACACCCGTACACCAAATCTAACTACACGGAGAAATTATCTCCATATCGGTCACCCAAAATTGACAACATTCACAGGCATGTCATTCGATTCATGTTAAGGGCGCTTGGTGAGAAAAAAAACTGTCACAACCTCAAATGAAGGTTATGCTAAAGCATAGCTATTTGGAATATTTTTGTTTATCTAGTAATTCAACCGGCGAAGTGAAAGAACTTTCATTGTTAATGACACACCTTGAACTTATAATCCGTAGGTAACCAACCAATTGCTGTTGTGTGGGGAAATTATGTCAGGAAATTTTGATTTTTGGCAAAAGTCATTCACCTTTATTGGAAAGTAAAATCAAAAGGTCATATAAATTAATGTCATAATAGCGTACGTTTATGGTCATGCGGTGAGACCGCATAATATCCTTCGAGCTATGAGAGTTTATGTCGTTGTGAATTAAAAACAAGTTAAAAAGCAGTTAGTTCGGCCGGGCCGAACTTTGAATACCCTCCACCATTTCTAACGAAGTTGGAAATTTTCAAAATATTAAATCACTAAAAAATTCTGTTAAATATTTAAAAATACCGAATATAGCCGTTATATTGGGGTCTATACGACGTGGACTTACATAGGCATTGTTTGTCATAAGTCATTACCATATTAAAAGGGTGAATAATGTAGCTAAAATCATCAAAATATCGTATATAGGGTGGTACCGTTATATCGGAGCTGTGCGAAGACCTGGACCTGCATAGACAGTTTTCTGTCACAGGCTGTAACATCCAATTCGAACTTCAAATACGACATCCCAAACAATTTCGGTGGGTATTGTAACTAAACTCGTGAACATACCGAATATAGGGAGGTACTGATATATGAGGCTTATTCGATGACCTGGACCTGCAAAGACAATTTTCTGTCACAGGCTGTAGTTCCCATTACGAACTCTAAATACGTAATTTGAAACAATTCCGGTGAATAATGACGCTAAAATCATCAAAATACCGAATTTTGGGAGGTACCGTTACATGGGCTATACGAAGATGTGGACCTGCACAGACAATTTTCTGTCATAGGCTTCATTATCTATTACAAATCTCAAATACCAAATTTGAAACATTTCCGGTCAATTAAGTCGCTAAAAGCATCAAGATACCGAATATCGGGAGGTACCGTTATATGGAGGCTATACGAAGACGTGGACCTGCACAGATAATTTTCTGTCATAGGCTGTAGTATCCATTTCGAACTTCAAATACCATAATTGAAACAATTCCGGTGAATAATGTCGCTAAAATCATCAAAATACCGAATATAGGGAGGTACCGTTATATGGGGGCTATATGAAAACGTGGACCTACATGGCCCATTTACAAACTTAACCTGCCTACTGGAAAAATAAACATGTGCGTAAAATTTTAGCCTTCTATCTCAATTCGTTCGAAAGATAGCGTAATTACAACAGACAGACAGACGGACAGACCGGCAGACAGACAGACAGACAAACGGACATGGCTAAATCGACTTAGAATTTTACGCTGATCAAGAATATATATACTTTGTTGGGTTTGACATGAGTATTTCGAGGAGTTACAAACGGGATGACAAAGTTAATATACCCTCCATAGTATAGTAGTGGAGGGTATAAAAATACGATTTCGATTGTTTTTGATATTTTAGTATGAGTGAATATAAAGATACTACCCGATTTTATATATTTTCAATTTCAAGACACATTTTGTAATTTAACTATGATTATTATCAGTAAAAATATTGTATAGGCCTCCGATGCATTCTGCAATTAGGTTATTGACACTACCAGAAAATTATCCCATCAATTTTACTTCCTTCCATAGATAAAGGATTTTTCCAAAAAAAAGCAAAAACCTTTTAACAGGTCATTTACCCAACATGTCAATAGCATTGACAGCTCATAGTTCAAAAACCCAACTCCATCATCAACCGAAATAAACACACATACACACACACACCTCTGGCTAACGACACGACACCAAATCGCTGACGCACAAGAAATAGGACAATATCACACGCACTCTATTTTCCATACGAAGTTCAACAAAAGCTATTTATCTTCTGTGGGTAGGAAAGTGTCATAAACCTCAGTGAAGGTTCATACTTAGGTATAAATACATGTTCAAAATGTTTATCTTGCCCTATGGCGTTCATGCTAAGGAACTTTTCAATGTTTAGGACACTCCTTGAACCGAATGACTAAAGTGAAAATTTGGTAATGTGTTTTACGCGTCAATGATGGAATGTTCGGATTCATTGACCTTTTACCGGAATGAAGTTATTATCAATTGGTTATTAGAATAAATTTGAAAAGATCATGACCTTTTTAATTTATCCTTTAAGCAGCTATCAGACGATAAGGGTTTTGCATATGCGCTGTCACTGTTATTATCTATGTGTTCAGGGTGAGATGAAAAAACAGCAAACAACTTCAGACTGCTGTCATTTCTAAGCCACTCGTTCGACAGCTGTTAAAATTATTGCAATGACAGCTCATTATATTTTTTACAAGCGTACAAAAGCATTTTGAGAATTTTCCAGAAAATAATTTATTCGTGTTGGAATTCAAGCGTGGTTACGAAATAAGTTTCCTCGCTTCATTTCCAGCGAACAATAGCCACCAAAATCTCCGGATACCAATCCGTTGGACTATTGTGTCTGGAGTATTTTGGAAAGCAAGGTTGGAACTAAAAAATACCAAAGTGTCGATCACCTCCAGCAAGCGCTTCGCCGGAAACTGCCTGGCCTAACATTTGTCATAAGCCATTACAATATTAAAATGCGAAACTTAAACAAGTAAAAAAGCAGTAAGTTCGGCCGGCCCGCACTTTGAATACCCACCAAAATTGGGAACGAATTATAAAATTTTCAAATAAAAAAAACCATTAAGAATTCTGTTAAAATCATTAAAATACGTCACATCGGAAGGTGCTGACATATGGAGGGATATACGATATTGTGGACCTATATAATCTATGTCTGGGGGTAAAGTGCTCATGCCTTGTGTAGAATTTCAGACAGTTCCGTTGAGAAATGTGCTTAAAATCATCAAAATACCTAATATCGGGGGCTACCGTTTTATGGGGGATATACGATATCGTAGACCCATATAGACAATTCTCTTTCAGGGGGTAAAGTACTCACAAGGGTCCCCTTGTGTGGAATTTCAGACAATTCCATTGAAAAATGTGGATAAAATCTTCAAAATACCGAATATCGGGGGTACCGATATATGGGGGCTATGCGATATCGTGGACCTATATAGATAATTCTCTTCCAAAGGATAAAGTACTCACAAGGAACTCCTTGTGTGGATTTTCAGACCATTCCATTGGAAAATGTGGGTAAAATCATAAAAATACCGAATAGCGAGGGGTACCATTATATGGGGGCTATACAATATCGTGGACCGATATAGCCCATCTTCGAACTTGACCTGCCTGCAGACAATAGAGAGATCTGTAGCTTCCTATCTTAATTCGTTTTGACTGTAGCGTGATTACAATAGACGGACAGACGGACGGGCAGGGCTAAATCGTCTTTGAACTTTACGCTGATCAAGAATGACGAACTTAATATACCCTCCATCTATGTATGGTGGAGGGTATAAACAATGTAGCTAAAATCATCAAAATACCGAATATCGGGAGGTACCGTTATATGTGGGCTATACGAACACGTGGACCGGCACAATTGTCTTAGGCTGTAGTATCCATTACGAAGCTCTAATACCAAATTTGAAACAATTTCGGTGAATAATGTCGCTAAAATCATCAAAATATCGAATATCGGGAGGTACCGTTATATGGGGGCTATATGAAGACATGGACCTGCACAGACAATGTCCTGTCATAGGCTGTAGTATCCATTACGAACCTCTAATACCAAATTTGAAACAATTTCGGTGAATAATGTCGCTAAAATCATCAAAATACCGAATATCGGGAGTTACTGTTATATGGAGCTATACCAAAATGTGGACATACATGACCCTACATGGTCCTGCAGATATAACATACATTTGAGTAACATTTTATCAATCTACTTTAATTCGTTCGGAAGCTAGAGTGATTTCCACAGACGGATAGACGGACGGACATCGCTAAACCGACATAGAATTATATGCTGATCAAGAAAACATATACTTTCTGGTGTCTAGAATGTATGTTTCGAGGTGTTACAAACGGAATGACAAACTTAATATACCCTCCATACTCTGGTGGAGGGTATAAAAATTATGGCGTATGAGTATTATTTACAATAATACTATTTTTCTAAGACATCAAAAGAATTCCGATCCTAAAACTTCTCGATCAGCTTTTTAAATCATAAGGCACATTTACATACAATATCAGGTACTTGTTTTGTATTAGGCCATGCTTACATATAATACATCCAGTAAATTTCAACTGTCAAATCCCATGGTAGAAAAATACAGCTAGACGCTTCGACACAACTGCTGGGACAATGAACTGTCAAACCAATTTTGGTATTGACAATTTTGAATGAGAAATTATTCAAATTTGTAAAAAATTATTGAAAAACGCATATTTCATAAAATCTACTTATATTTGAAGAAATATTTTAAAAATTCTGACATATCAATGTTCCCAAGCGTTGATGCATCTACCTGTATTCTTCTACCATGGACAAATTCGTTGTGTATGCGCCAAATCAATGGAAAACCCAATCAAAAATAAATTGTGATTGGTATGTAAAAGTAGTATTAGTGGGTCAATAAACTCTTAAATGATGGAAATAGCCGTTTTATAATCTTGACTGATTTTCAATTGTTCCCATCGAAATAGAAAACAATTACGAATATTTCATTAAAATTATAAAGTTCTCACATTCTCCATCTTATTTTTTATTGCGTTACAGAAATTAGAACAAGAGAAACATGTTCTACGACAAAAACTGGCCATTGCAGAAGAAGAAAGCGAGCAGCGTGTGCTGGAATATCAAACTGATCTCAATGAACTCAAAGACAAATTGCAGGCTCAGGTAAGATTAGATTCAAAGAATTTCTTTTCAGCAAGTTCTTCATTATAATCAGCAATTTCCCTTCTCTTCGAATAACAGGAAATCGCAATACGTCAAGCTGAGAAAGAAAAAACCTTGATAATCGAAGAATTAACAAGTCAGAATGCCCGTTTAACGGAGCAGATACAAGAGGCACACAATACGGAAATGAAGTTGATGTCACAAATACAAGAACTAAAAGATCAGTACCAATATAGAAACACCAGTTTACAGGTATGGTAGAAAGCGTTTCCTCAGCGTTTGGTTTTATGCTAATTTCATGCTTCTCACCTACCCCCCTGCAGGAACATGTCAATAGTCTAGAGTCTATCAAAACGGAATTGAATCTAACCACAGAAAAACGCCATGAGCTAGAGAAACGTTTGCAGGCCGTACAAGAAGAAAAACAAAATCTAGCTGCTGCCCTGGAAGAATCATCGGACCGTATTCATATGTTGGAAAGACATGCCCGTGAACAGGAAACTAAACTAGAGGTAAAATGAGCAATTAAGAGCGTTTATTTTGAATTCTTCTATTTCTTAGTAGCATTGCGTCATACTCTTTGTTATTATTATTGTTCTTATTTTTTTTTTCATTCAAAGTTAATGTTATTTTCTTGTAGCGTGTTTTGTTATGGAACTGCTATCTCCCTGTCAAGTGTGCAAAAAAAAATGAAACACAACTGTATTTTAAATTAGACAAAAAAACCCATAACAAATTGCGTTGTTCTTCAAGTTTTTTGTTAGGGTTATCAGAAATATTTATCATTGACATTGATTTAGAAGTTATTATTTTTTTGCGAAAAACATTAATTTGTATTAGAATGCGCTCAGTGAAAGTTTGAGGTTATGTTAGTATCGAAAAGATTGATTAGAGCATGGCACAATGACAGAAGGTAGAACAAAGCTACCTCCTAAACTCAATTTTTTTCTTTGGGTGCCCCTATCCTTTCAAAACATAAACACAGATTGAGTATGTGTGTGTATTGTTTTAAATTAGAAAAAATAATTCGATTTTTTCAAATCCAGTTGCAACATAAATTCATATTTTTGGCATAAAACTGTATTGTTCCACTGTCTTAGTGGAAAATCCCCAATATTCCATTTATGTTTTGTGGGTTTCCCCAATATATTGTAATTTTGTTAGAAAATTACTCTGGAAAGAGTTGCATTTTTCCTATTTTCTTAAAGTTGAGCAACTGTTTTGGTTGAGCCATGGATTATAGTTTTCATGCAAAGATTAAGGACTTTTAACCATTGTAGAAATATACAGGTAGATGCATCAATGTTTGGGACATTGATATGTCAAAAATTTTAAAATATTTTTAGATTTCTGTATGTTTTCTTATACGGCGGAGGTTGTTATGATAGGAATTTTTCATTTTTTGAACGAATTTAAATAAATTTTCATACAAAATGTTCAGTTTCAAAATTGGTTCGACAGTTCATTATCTCAGCCGATGTGTCGCATCGCCAGTATTCTTCTATCATGACTTTTAACAAAGCTTATAGTACGTTTACAGTTTCCCGGCTTTAAATTGCCAATTTCATTGCATATACTATGATAAAATAATACAGGTAGTTGCATTCACACAGCTGCTGGTACAATGAACTTTCAAATCAATTTTGGAATTGAAAATCTTGAATGAAATTTTATTCAAATTTGATAAAATTCTTGAAAAATACATATCATGGTACAATAAGGAGGTAAAACAGCTTCATAAAAGTGCAGAAACACAGCCCCGAGGCTATGCCCGCTTCCTCTCAGACTCATTGAAAATTATATTATATAAAATGAGTAAAAAAGCGCGAAAAATTAATAAAAATATAATCCAAACTGTTCAATCTTTCAATTCCATGGCTAAACTGGTTAATAGCTTTGATGAGCGAGCCGCAATGCAAGTGTTTTCCAATTATTGGTTTTGAAAATATGTTGTTTTCATTTTTCAAAACAATAATACATACACAAAATTGGCAGAAGTCGGGCACACTTAGAAAAAATTGTAATCAGCTGTTAGCTCTACCTTACCTTTTTATTGTACCATGATACATATCATAACAATTTCCCCGTTGTATTCGAGCTTCAACTTATTTTAAACTTATCAATGTTCACAAGTGCCGGTGCACGTATCTGTATTATTCTAACATGACATATACTCCAAAGAAATTCTAATAATGTAGCATTGTAAAAGAAGAATGCAGGTAGATGCATCAACGCTTGGGAACATTGATATGTCAAACTTTTTAAAATGTTGAAAAAGTTATTATAATATACGTTTTTCAACAATTTTTACAAATTTGAATAATTTTTCATTTCAATTCCAAAATTGGTTTGACAGTTCATTTTCCCATCAGCTGCGTCGATGCGTTTACTTGTATTCTTCTACCATGTAATGTAGGTTAGACCTGTAAAAAGCTTTAGTGTAAACACACTATTGTTTACATAAATTTTTAGGTTAGTTCGTTTACTTTCCCAGTAACACATACTTAGTAAGAGGTTACTGAGAAAAAATATGATTTTCTCTCTCGAGAGAGAAAAAAATTGCAAAAAGTTACCGAACAGCATTTTGTAAAAGATTGCAAGATAACAGCTGATACAAGAAAAACTTTGACGCAAATCTTAACGGCAGAAATATTTTCATGAATATTATTTGTTTTTACATTTTTATTACAAAAATACTTACGAACTCCAAAATAAAGGAAATAGATCAGCATACGCAAATAAATTATTCGTTTTCCATATTTTCCTTATACATTGTTGTAAATCATTTTAATAAGTTTTTGTATACTCCCTTGGAAGATATAAATGACACTCACCTGGCGTTTGTTTACGAAGCAAAGAAGAATGCTTTTACGCGAAGTGTTTTATCGAAAAGCTGATAATCTAAATTCGTCAGCATTGTTATCCTTCACTTCAAGTATAGAAAAATGTTTACAATATTGAAGGTTAACACACGAGTATAATTCCTATAGCTGTTAAACTTCTGTGTTTACATGTACCCTTAATGACAGTCAGCTGATGTTTGTTTGTGTGATCATACCATGTAATACCCAAAACAGATGTCAGTGTTATTATGCATTTAAAATATCTAAATGCCATTACATTTTTGTCCTGACATACGACAGAATCTGTATTTGTTTTGACAGGCCACAAGTGGCTGGTCCATCTAGCCCACAGATACAGAATCTTTGGTTCTTTTTTATCGGCATCTGTAAAAAATATTTACCTTTCTTGTTTTGTTGACTGATGTAGTATTTATTTTGATTTTCACAAACCTAAACAATTCGTCAACAGCTGATTGTCTGCTGTGGTATTCATTTTGATTTTCACAAACATAAACAATTCATCAACAGCTGATTGATTTTCGGTAGTGTTGCCACATGAAATGCATTTCAAATTCATGTTGTGCGAATTCAATCTCATTTTGTGCATTTCATAATAGGAATTTAACGAATTAATATGCATTGATGCAAATAAAGGATCTCTAGGGTATATTTAGCAATGTTTGGCAAAAGTTTTGTTGTAACATTTGAATTAATTACACAACGATTTTAGAAGTTTGGTTACATACATTTTAATTTGAAGGATGCCTTTTGAGAAATTGTCTATCTTATTTGCAGAAGCTTCTTTGAACAATTTCTAATATTCTATATCATTACTTTATTGCTATTCATTTTTATAGACTACCTTACAAGCATTGGAAAGAGCGACCAGGGAAAACAATGTACTCAGTGAACGTTTGGGTGCGGTAAGTAAAATTCTCCGGAGACTTTTAATTATAATATAATGGTAAAAATCTTTACCCGACTAAAACTTGATAATTGACCAATCAAAATAAATATAATTCATATTTTCCTAATTTTAATTTATTGTGATTGCTAAGTTGTTAAGGTTAAATCGGATAAAGATTTGTGTGTAAACGTACCTTGAGACTTAATTTTTAAACATATTCCTTTGATATTTAATCATAGGACTCCTACTCCGCATCGACGGGTAAAAAATCACTGCAATTTGAAATGGAATGTGACGAAGATGAGGCCAATTTCTCCGAGGATGGTAAACCTTCACAAATTTGGGTTGAATCTCGTTCTGTTTACATACAATTGAAATCCTTGGTGGATTCTTTGAAAATCAGTCATGACGATGATTCAGGTATGTGTAATGCTTCACTCCATGGCCTTTACCCTGTAGTTAGAAATTCCGTAATAAATTTTTGTGTATCATATTTCAAAACGACAAGGTTTTACAGGTTTAAATTCGGACATATCATTGGATTTGGAATCTATGGATAATACCATATCATCGACAAGTGATATTGGTGGTAGTGGTGGCGTTAGCAACGGCATGGACAACAATGGTAATGGACATCCAGTTAATTTCCGCCCAGGTATGCTGTCGGCCATGTCAGATGAGCTGACACGCTTGCTGTTGAATTTGGATGCTGGTAATTTCAAGAAAATGTTGGATCAAACACGTAATTTGGTATTGGAGCAGGAAGATGAAATCAAGAGATCTCATCAACTGATACAACAGCTAGAAGCTAAGGTAAGGCGCGTGGTGGATTTTGAAATATTTCATTAATTATCTCAAATATACATTTTTCCAGTGCGCTGTTACTGACGTTGAGTTACAAAATGTCAAAGAAGAAAGAGATCAGGCCCGTAGCGATTTGGTTGACAACACTGATCGCGATGAATTGCTAGCTAAAGCCCAAAAAGAACGTGATAACGCCAATGAAAGGCGTACCAAGGCCGAAGTTGAATTGGCCAAGACCCGTGTGGAACTCATGCAAGCCAATTCACAATTATTGGAATCCATTCAACAAAAGGTTGAACTGTCACAACAATTGGAACAGTGGCAGGTAGGTGTCAACTATGGGGGGTTGTTACACGAAATGACTGTAAAGCTTAGTTTACCTAAATTACACGTTTAACGAAGATTCGTTATTTATTTGACGTAAATTAAAAATTCGAAAATCGCGTTTTAAAAAACACGTTCGGCGTAAATAAGGTTAAAACCCACCTTCTTATAAAATACTTCAATGTAAACGTAGCCTAATTTTTTTGTTTCCAATTTTAACCAATATACTTAGATTCTTCCATGGTAGAATCAAGAAGGTAAATTCATGCAATCACATGTTTACAATTTTTCAAAAATTATTCATTTGACAACATCTCATTGTGAGAATTTGTATTTATAAATCCATTGTACATACTCAAATCAGAGATGGGAACCTGTTTTTATGTAGTGAAATGTGACAAGGGAAATTACAGAAAATGCAGAGATGGGAATGCTTTTTTGAAATGACTTTACCTTCTTAATTTTACCATGGGCTCATCCATGGTAGATAAAGGTAGTCGCATCAACGCTTGGGGATATTGAAATGTCAATTTTTTTAAATGTTTCTTCAAAAATAAGTAGATTTGTATATGTTTTCCTATACGACGCCAATCGGAGATTGATAGGTGATAGATAGGCATTTTTTACAATTTTTTAATAATTTTTCATTCATCAATTTCAATTCCACTTTGGTTTGACAGTTCATTGTCCCAGCAGCTGTGTCGATGTGACTGCCTGTATTCTTCCACCTGTGGCTGCAATAATGCATTTTGATATTAAATTTGGTGCTCAGCTGGCTTGAAAGGAAGACCTTAAGGTGGGAATACATAAAGCTCTTATTTGTCTGGCTTAAGTCATCGGTTGTCTTCTTCGTAGAGGAACAAAGGAGTTTTAGGTTGTCTTAGTTCGATTTTGGCTCAAGGCTCCTTTGTTCACTTCCGCAGAAGCCAGTCAAATAAGCGCTTTATGTATCCCAACCTTTATAACTGGGCCATGGCTTTGACCTTATTCTTGTGTCTTCTAATGCTACGTTTACACACGCAGCCTTTTCGTTGTCTTGATAGAGGAGTTTATTGTGAAAACTGTGAATCAAGGCTGTGTGTTTACATCTTTATAATAACATAAACCTTTGTTTATCATTTACATTACATATAATCGAGTGAATGAGGAGCTTTACTAAATTAGAACGAAGAATACCTGAAATATTGTCTGTTTTGGTTCTTTAAACCGTTTATTAACTGGTTCGTTTTACATTTTTTTCTTTGCAGATGGATATGCAAGAATTGATCGAAGAGCAAATGCGCTCGAAAATGATCAACAATCGCAAGAGCCAACAACCCCAACCACAGACGAATGCCAGTGGAGCCAGCAATTTGGCCAAACGTTTGTCCAACTACAAATTGTGGAGCCTTTTTCAACGGTAATCTGATGTCGTTGAAGTGGTGGCGCTATGCGTCGTTAATTTTAATCATGTAAAAGCTTTCAAACGTTTATTAAATTGAGTTTCTTTTTTATTAATGATTTACATAAATGTACTTATTATTACCATTACAATTTATCTTATAATTTACTCTCTCTCTCTCTATTTTCATAAATTGTGTATAAATTCTGTACATTTTTTTATTATTATTATTATGATATGTATGTATATCATGTTGTTTTTATAAGAAATATTTATATTAATTGTATTTTTGTATTTTTACTTATATATTAAACCATTATTAATAGAGTGAGGTTAAATAAAACAAGTAAACAAGCAGCTCTGTTCGGCCGAGCCGAACTTTTAATGCCCTCCACCATTTGAAGAGAACTTAAAAAAAATGCATCTTAAAATACCTTTTAATTTAATCATGTTATTTGGAGCTATACCAAGACATGGATCATGAGTAATTTTCTGTCATAGAAGCGATTACGATCTTCAAACATGAGCATCGCTAAATTAACTCAGAATTTGACGCTGTTGCAGAATATTTATAGGGTCTATTTCGATAAGTTTATACCCTCAATAAAATGGTGGAGAGTAAAAAAAAACTGGAAAAATATTTTTAAACAATTAACAAAAAAAAAAAACATTGTAACAAATCAAAATTTACACACAACTAACCACTTTGTTAAAGAATAAATCATAATAAATCATAAATTGTACCTTTCTTGATGATAATATTATAGCAAAAATTAATAATAAAAGAGACACACTAAATATAAAAGTAAAATTTACAATGTAATATTTAATTTTTTATATGTTTTCTTTACAGTAATATGAAACATTAACGCTTTTTCTTATTAAATTACATTGACATATAATGTATGTAACCAATTTATACACAGATATATATTTTATAATAGAATCGGAAAAAACAATAACTGTATATAAGAGAAAATTAAGAAAATATGAAAAAAAGGTGATAAAATTATACATGCATGCATTGATATGTCAAAATTTTTTAAATGTTCTTTTTTAAGTCGATGTTTATATGTTTTCTTATACGAGGTCAGCCGGAGGTTATTACGGCATGAATTTTTCAATTTTTTTTACAAATTTCAATACATTTTCTTTAAAAAATTTTCAATTGCAAAATTGGTTTGACAGTTCATTATCCCAGCAGATGTGTAGATGCGACTACCAGTATTCTTGTACCATATCCCATTGCGTATACGTGAAATGCAATTGATTTGACAGTTGAAATCCACTGGATTTATTCAGTCTAAAGGTACTGTGAAAGATTTCTCATATTAGTAAAAAATAACCCTCTGCGTTAAATTGACCTGAAAACTAATTCTTGTTCATATTGACATTAAACATTTTATGCAATCTTGATTTGCGAAGTTTAACAAAAAATAAATAATTGACACAAGATCATTTAAAATGGTAGCCAGCATAGCTGCTAACATAATTTTAAATAAACAAAAAAATATATTAACATCAAAAAGTCTTAAGGGCTAAGTACATAAGAAGCTTGAAGTCATGGCACGGCCTATTTTGTGACATTTTACAAAGGAATTACAGAGCCGCACTAAAATCCTGCCGTCGTTTTTCATTATAATTTGGCATTAATATGCCTAGCCATGACTTCAAGCTTTTTATGTATTTGCAGCCTTAAGCTGGAAATACATAAAGCGCTTATCTGGCTGGCTTAAGTCATCGGCTGGCTTCTTCGTAAATGAACAAAGGAGGTTTAGGTTGACTTAGTTCGATTTTGGCCCTAGGCTCCTTTGTTCATCTACGAAGAAGCCAGCCGATGACTTAAGCCAGCCAAATATGCTCTTTTTGTATTTCCAGCCTAAAGCATTCCCAGCTCTGCATTTTCTGTAATTTACCTTATCAAATTTCACTGCAAAGAAAACAGATTCATATCTCTGATTTTTGTATACAATTAATTTGTAAATATAAATTTTGACAATGAGATATTGTCAAATGAATAATTTTGAAAAATTTGTAAACATATGATTGCCTGACTTTACCTTCTTAGTTCTACCATGATTTATACATTATCTGTAAGTATGAAATCTTATAGGTTTGTTTTGAGTTATGCATACATAAAGAGGGTCGGCTGACTCACATTGCATTGTATCCATGGTAGAAGAATACATGTAGCTGCATCGACATAGCTGCTAGGACAATAAATTGTCAAACCAATTTTAAAATTTAAATTTTTGAATTTAGAGATATATTTAAACGACTCGGCTTTGTTTTTAGATCAATTGTGTTTTAAAAAGCTTGAAGTCATGGCTAGGCATATTAATATCAAATTATAATGGAAACCGACGGCAGGATTTTAGTGCGGCTCTGTAATCCCTTTATGAAATGTCACAAAATTTGCCTAGTCATAACTTCAAGCTTCTTATGTACTTACAGCTTTACTTTTCGAACTGACATCTATTGCAATGTGTACATCAGCAAATACTAGCGTATTATGGCATTCTTGGATTTGAGAACTTAAATTTTACATCCGTTGCAATCCCAAAAGCTATAAACATTATTTCATATTTTCTTAATTTCTCTCGATATATGTATATTTACTAACATTGAAAATTCGTATGCCTTACATTCGTTTAACGCTAAAGATAATATTTTGCAAAATACAATAATTTTATAAAAATATACATACAAATATTTGGATAAATTTACTACTTATTACAAAACAAAAAACATATCGCTGAAAAACAATATTCATTTTCCATAGATTCTTAAAAAAAAAACAAATTTAATAGGTTACACAGGCCGCGAACTCAGGTTTTAAGGTGAAAACACACATTACTGCACTTTCTTGCTTTGGAAATGTCAAATTATAAAAGCATATCAAGGTCGCTGGGGAATTCAGATGCCGTTGTTTTTTATAATTTGGCTACGACGAAGCAAGAAAATCAATACTGTTTCATCCTTTACAGCCTGATTCCGTAAGATTTTTACCCATTTATTCGTTTATATTTTAATTCTTAAGATGAGGGTACATAAGCAGCTTGGCGTCGTGGCTAGGCATATTAATGTCAAATTATAATGGGAACCGACGGCAGAATTTGAATGCGGCCATGGCTTCCCTTTACGATATGTCACAAAATATATCATGCGAAGACTTCAAGCTGCTTATGTACCCACACCTTTACACCAAAAAAATATTTTCTGTCAATGAGAAGCAAACGGAAACTTTTTTGTTTTTACTCACATTTTTGTAAAACTGTTAATATTTTTGAAAAGCACAAAAATTTATTTTTTACTGAAAAACAATTTGCTTTGACAGCATGGAAAGATATTAAGCTGTCATCCTGGTAAATACACCTTAGTTTTTGTGTTATGCCTAGAAAAATTTGACCCTCTAACACAAACCCTTATGGAATACAAGTATTTTATTTAAAGCAATTTATTATTTTGTGTGATTTGTCATAAAATAACAAAACTTGTACCAATCCCCAAAAAAAACAACAAACATAAACTAATCTAAAATTAATTAACTGTTATAAGTTAGAATTAAGTAAAGCACGAAATCAAAGCATTTTTCTAAGAAGTTAAGTAAATCGTAAATTGAAACATAACAAAAACAAAACAATTAGAAAAACACAAAAAGTAATAAAAACAAGAAAGTTATAGTTAAGAGATACAACTTTTTTCAAAAGCTTTAATTTCACCTACTTGCCTTAATTCTGACAATGAAACAAAAACACAAAATAAAGAAAACAAAAAAAAAACGGCAACTAATTTTTAAATATAATATTAATAAATGTGAAAACAAATGTTTAAATAAAACTAAATAAAAAAATTAGTAAACCTAACCTATAAAGTGTGTTTTAATTGTGCTATGGTAATAGCTTTTAAGAACTAAGAAGGTAACGTCATGCAATCACATGTTTTCAATTTTCTCGAAATTATATTATTATCAAAGTTTGGACAAGATTTAGATAGTGCAGTTTAATTTGCTTAGGAGAGTCTTCTACAGGCGATATTATTGCAAATTTAAATGTAGAAGTCTATAATTGAAATATAATCCGCAGACAGATTTTAAGTAACCCCATGTCAGACGTGTGATCGTGTAATACATAAACGACATTTCAGTTGTGAAATACATGAGAAAAGTACTTTTTCGATCACAACGCGCCCTATTTCACATGGATAATTGAATTGACAGCACGTATGTAAAACCCATTCCGTCTGACAATGCCTTTTAGACAAGCTACCGAAGAAGAGTTAGATAGAAGCTGCACATAGTTAAATTTGCTTGGGAGACTCTTCTACAGACAATATTATTGCAAACTTAAATGTTGAAGACAATATTTTAAATATACACGGAATACCCGTTGCTTATGCCTGTGCGGCATACTGATAACAAGTAAAAACCAGTAAAGAAAGCCTTAAAGTCGGGCGGGCCCGATTTTATGATACCCTACACCACTTTGCTAATTAAGTAGAGCTCCACATAACAATTAAAAGTTTTTATGGGAGAATTCAATCATACACGCTATGATTATAATTTTAATTTAAAGTTCAAAGGACTAAAGATGCCGAAGCATTTGTATCTTTTTAATTCGGACTTGTATTGCCCATTTGGTGCACAATTAATTTGAAATCGGATAAAGATATATATGGGAGCTATATCCAAATCTGAACCGATCTCGATAAAATTTGGCAAAGATATTTCTGAGCTGTATTTGATATATTTCCCTGAATATCGTTGTTACGGAGTGCATATTACGGCTGTGGGTAACAAATATAACAAAACGGATGAATAATATATATGGAAGCTATAGCTATATCTGAACCGATCTTCACCAAATTTGACATACTAGCTTCTAGACTCAATTCGGTGGCAAGTGACAAATTCCATCCCATTTGGACAAATATTAGACGTTTGGTGCACAATAAAAGGTAAATCGGACGAAGTTATATATGGGAGATATATCCAAATCTGAACCGATCTCGATAAAATTTAGCAAATGTATTTCTGAGCTGTATTTGATATATTTCCCCAAATATTGTTGTTACAGAGTGCATATTACGGCGGCGGTGGACAAAAATAACAAATCGGATGAACAATATATATGGGAGCTATAGCTATATCTGAACCGATTTCGATCAAATTTGGCATACTTATTTTTAGGTCCAATCTGATCGTACGTGCAAAATTTCATACAATTCGGGATGATATTAGACGTTTGGTACCCAATAAAAGGCAAATCGGACGAAGATATATATGGGAGCTATATCTAAATTTCGACCGATTATCTCCAATTTCAATAGGGTTCGTCCTTGGGCCAAACAAAAAATCTTTGCAAAATTTCATCTGGATCGGGCAATAAATGCAACCTGTACTTTGCTTACAAAAATACATGGACAGACGGACGGACGGACATGCATAAATCGACTCAGAATGTGATTCTATGCAGATCATCAAAAGGAACTATGGGTCTATCTCGTTTCCTTCTGCCTGTTACAAACAAATGCACAAAGACATAATACCCTGACCACCTTGTGGTGTAGGGTATAAACATTAAGTTCAGCCGGGCCGGACGGAAAGAAAATAGACTCAAAAGAGCTAAAGAGTTGCTTCGCTTTGGCCGAAAGTGGTGAACTGCCGAATTTGCTTTTCTCCGATGAAAAACATTCGTTGTCCCGCAGTTTGTAAACAAACAAAATGATCTTGTTTACTTGCCAAAGAGGTCAGCTGAAAATGTGCACCTTCGGTTGGCCACCTCGTATTAATCGACCGCTATAGGAAAGCGTGTACCTTAATATTCAACGTTCTGCCACCGGAGCTAGAACCCATTATGCCCAACAAATACCAATTTTTAAACAAATCCGTAAAAAAAAATGGCGAAAATTATCAAACTACCGAATATCGGAAGGTACCGCCACCGGAGCTAAACCCCATTATGACCAACAAATACCAATTTTTAGACAAATCCGTGAAAAAATGTGTCGAAAATCATAAAAATGCCGAATATCGGGAGGTACCGTTATATGGCGGCTATACCAAAACGTGGACCGATATATCTCGTTTTCCATACCAACCATCCTGGATCTGCCAAATTTTGAAGCTCTACGTCAAATAATGTGGGCTGTATCGTGATTTCAACATACAGACAGACGGATATCGCTTTATCGACTTAGAATTATATGCTGATTATGAATATATATACTTTATGGAGTCTACGACGAATATTTAAGGATGTTACAAATGGAATGACGAAGTTAGTTCCAAGGTGGAGGGTATGAAAATGTAACATTACACGCTTTCGATTACGGCTGCGACTATCATGCTTGCTTATGGCTTCTCGTAAATGAAATAACACTGCGAAAAATGCAAATAATACTTCCTTAATTTTGCATAAAAATTTATACTGTTTATTTCTAAATACACATAGTTATAAAAAATATATATTATTTCTTTCTTTTAGCCGATTCTTTAACATTAAACTTGGGCACACGATCTTTTTTCGCCAATATAGTATTTGATGACTCATCGATATGGACCGATGATATGGTCATGTTAATACGCTTCTCTATAACACCTACGAAGAGTTTAACGTTGTGGGAAGTCATGGAAGTTTTTGAACTCAGCACATTTAAAATGGGGGCATCATCGCATGATAATTGTCTGAAAAACAAATTTAAATTTTATTGAGGAAGCACAAGATGAAAAAGTGAAATAACACTCACTTAAATATTTCCCAAATACCCGTGAGCATTTCATGTAAACGTTTATCTAAAATTTCAGCCTTTTCCTTGGCAGCATTATTTTGAGTTTTGGCATTATCCAATTGCTCACTAAGATACTCCAATGATTCGGTTTTTTGTTTTTGTTCTTTTTCCAAGAGGTCAGCTTTTTGGCGTTCTATAAAAACAAATACATTTATAATTCTTTCAATTCTAAAAGAATAATTTACAAGAGCTACCAATTTCATCAGACAGTTCCTGAGTGGTATCATTGAGAACTTCAACTTCATTGCTTAGCTCATTTACATAATTGAAGAGAGCAAAATTCTCTTCCTCTTGTCGCTTAAATTGTGCTGCCAATTTACTCGTATCCGGTTCCTTGTATAGATCCTAAACGGGGATTTTATACTTTGTAAATATTTTCGATTATTTAATATAATTCATATGCTACCTTCATTTTATCAACTATTGCCTTGTAGTCCTGCAATTGCCTTTCAAATGCCTCCTTTTGGGCCAACTTTTTGTTAACTTCTCTTTGTTCCAGTTCAGGATTTTGCCGCTTTTGTCCCTTTATATCGAAGAATTTTTGTAACTTGGCATCATGCTCTAAGCGCCGTTGCATTTCACGCATTTCCTATGTAAGAAAATTAATTAAAATAAGTAAAAAAGCTGTAAGTTCGGCCGGGCGGCACTTTGAATGCCCTCCACCATTTGGAACGAATTTGGCAATTATCAAAAACAATAAAATCTGTTAAAATCTTAAAAACACCGAATGTAGCTGTTATTTTAGGGTCTATACAACTTTTGTCATAAGCCATTACAATATTCAAATGCGAAACTTAAAAAAAATCGGTGAAATCATCAAAACACCGAATACATGGTACATCCCTACAACTATATAGGGGATATACCAAAACTTGGACACGCACTAACAATTTTCTGTCATAGGCTGTAGTGTTCCGAATTTGAAACAATTCCGGTGAATAATGTCGCTAAAATCATTAAAATACGGAGTATGGGGAGGTACCATTATATGGGGGCTATACGAAGACGTAGACCTGCACAGACAATTTTCTGTTTTAGGCTATAGTATACATTATGAACTTCAAATACCAAATTTAAAACAATTCTGGTGAATATTGTCGGTAGTCACCAAAATACCGAATATCGGGAGTTACCGTTATATTGGGACTATACGAAGACGTGGACCTGAACAAACAATCTCCTGTTATAAGTTGTAGCACCCATTACGCACATCAAATACCAAATTTAAGACAATTCCGGTGAATAATGTCGCTAAAATCAAAAAATTACCGAATATCGGGAGGTACCGTTATATGGAGGCTATACCAAAACGTAGACCTACATGGCTCAGTACCAAAAGTCCTACAGACATAATATACATTTGAGTAAAATTGTTTCAATCTACTTCATTTCGTTCGGAAGCTAAAGTGATTTCCATAGAGGGACAGACGGACGGACATCTAATTCTATATCGACATAGAATTTTATGCTGATCAAGAATATATATATTGTGGGGTCTAAAATGTATATTTCATGGTGTTACAAACGGATTGACAAACTTAATATACCCTCCATACTATGGTGCAGGGTATAATAAAAGTTTAACGGATAAAATTCTCAAAATCCATCAAAAAAAGTTGAGCTTATTATTTATGTTTGTTTGTGAAGAATTTAAATTTAGAAGAGCTTTTTTAATCAAGATATGAGGAATTAAAGTTATTTATAATGATTATTGCACTGTTCCAGAACCTGCAAGAATCTACTAGTTTTGCAATTTTTTTTTTCGATATCATAAAGGAAAAATTTGTTATTGTAGTAAAAACGTTTCCATTCTTGCAGTTCTGGAACATACCAATATCTGTATTATCATATAGAATTGCACCTATTTACATCTTACCTGTATGTGCATTATTTTATCGTTTTCACTGCGATCTTTGAGTAGCTGTAATTTATTACAGAGTTCCTCACGTTGGTCATAGGCCAATGTGGACTGATCTATTAAATCCATGATGTATTTTTTACCCTCATTAAATTGAGTAACCATGGATTGCCACATTTCATTGAAGTTAGCTCTGCAAAAGTGCAATTTGTTTAAAAATATATACTGTCAAAATTCTTATGCTTTTTTTTGTACCTACCGATCTTGTAACATGTGATTGATGTTGTCCCGCAATTTGGAATTTTCCGTCAATACATCACTGCATTTCTTGTTGACCACATCTAAACGGTTTTCCAATTTTACAACACTTTTCTGGACCTTACAAATGGTGTCTTTATAACAACTGTCAGGAACTTCCAATCTCCGCATGCCATCGATTTCCTTTTCAATCTGAAACAATTTAAAATGGGGTTACACTACTGTACCAACGAATTTTGTGTGTTACCTTTTTAATGTGTCCCTCCAATTCCCACAAATTGGTACGTTCATTTTGCAAAATACGCTGGACATCAGCCTCTTGCAGTTGGAGGGTAGATAATTTCCTTTCTTTCTACATTGGTGAAATTATATGAAAAATTATAAGTCCAAATAGTGTATTGAAAACGTCATTGCATGTTGTATTTAATTATGGATAGACTATATTAAATTTAATTTTTAAAGCTTCCTTTAAACAAATTTTAATAATTTTCAAAGTAAAATCAGTCTGATAAACTCCAAATTATAATTAAATATAACTCATAATGACTTTGCACAAAGCATTTATTTACCCCAACACTTCTTTTGGCATGACTTCCACCTTCTAATGTGATTATCTCTGTAGTCAGCTGCTGGTGCTCCTTTTGCAGGCCACTTATTAGGTGGTTTTGTTTTTTCAATTGCTTGGTCTTGTAATCCAATAATCCCCGCAACTCCAGTTGTAAGGAGCGTAACTAGATGAAGTAAATAGTAATATAAACCCTAGTTCTTTTTCCTTAAGAATATCACATTTACCTGTCTTTGTAAACGTTCCAACTCCGCATTGGCTAATTGATCCAATTCTGCTTGATTTGTCATTATCAAGATATTTCCATTGTTTTTAATTGTAAACGGATGAGATTAATGTCAATATCAGTTCTTAGGTTTACTAAACAATAAATATCAGTTGTATTATAAACAGTTACACGTATCCATGGCAATATTAAAAAGCCGAAAGACCTTGAACTTGAATTGCCGTTAATTTTGAAATTGGCGCTGCTTTTGTAAATTTGAATCCTTTTCATGGTGTACTTATGATCTCGCCCTAATTTTCATTGCCGTTTATTCCATCATGTGTTATGTGCGGAGTGGAAAAATGTATAATTTAAAAGAATTAACAGCTTTCCTTTTTTAATGAAGAACTAATGGGCGCGTTGCCAATCACCACAAAAAAAATTCGTCCCCTTCATTTTGATGACGACAGTGCTGCCAAGTTGTTTATCAAATCTGTGGGTTCTACATGTATGGATATAAAATGGACAAAATCAAATTATTTTTAACCGTTAAAGAAAGGTCAAAACTCGTGTGGGGCCGTTATAATTTGGAGCAGTTATAATTTGGAATTGAGAGGAACATATAAATGCGGGTGTATTAAACTTTGAACCGATTTCCATCAAATTTTATGGAGGCAATAACATTTGCTCTGATCCAGAACTACAAGAATGTAAAAGTTTTCACTACGATAACTTATTCTTCCTTTACGATATCGAAAAAAATTGCAAAACTAGCATATTCTTGCAGGTTTTGGAACATAGAGATTGCTATATAGGTATATGGGAACTGAATTTCATCAAATGTTGTATTTGCTTCCATAATAAATTCGGTTGAATGTGTAAAAATTCATCTATCTTGGACTGATGTTACACATTTGGAACACAATAAGCGTGAAATCGGATGAAGATATATAAGAAGCTTTATCCAAATTCTGGATGAAAATTATTATGGAATTTAGAGCTATATCTGAATCGATTTGAGCCAAATGTGACACACTTACTTTTAGACTGACTTCGGATGTGCCGAAATCAATCCAATTAGATCAAATATTACATATACCGATTAACTCCTATTTCAATAGGGTTCGTCCTTGGGCAAAACAAATAATTTGTGCAAAATTTCATCTCGATGCACTTTGTTTACAAAAATACATGGAGAGACGGGCAGACATGCTAAAATCGACCAGGGTGAAATGAAAAAACTGAAACCAAATTCAGACTGTTGTCATTACTAAGCACCTCATCCGATAGCTGTTAAAATTATTATTATATTGTTTGCAAGCTAATTATATTGTTTACAAGCGTACAAAAGCATTTTGGTGAGAATTTTCCCGAAAAAAAGTTATTAGTGATGTAATTTAAAGGTGATAGTGTGATTTCTTTATATTTGGCTGGAAAAGTGGCTATCGTTAGAGCACTCCAACATTTAAATGTGAAAAATTCTTTTGTGTCTCGTACCATCGCTCGTCAAAGAAGTAGACGGAAAAAACAGCAAAATTAGCAGAAATGATTCGAAAAGTAAAGAAGCGACTTGATCGAATCCCGCGTCGCAGTGGCCGAATGGCTCGTGAGCTGAATCGCAATATTCCGTTCGGCAAATATTGAAAAATGAGCTTGCCCGAAAGTTGTGAACTGCCGAATTTGGGTTTCTCCGATCAGAAAACATTCGTTGTCCAGCAGTTTGTAAACAAACAAAATGATCGTGTTTACTTGCCAAAGAGGTCAGCTGAAAATCTGCACCTTTGTTTGGCCAGCAGTATGTATAAAGGAAAATTCAGTTATTGTAGTAAAAAGGTTTACATTCTTACAGTTGTGGAGCAGAACAATAATTGTGTGCCAAAACCAATGGAAACATGCTAAATCGTCCGATAACAATGATATTCCCTTTTAAAATATCGATGTTGCCATCGATTGTTTGCCGGCTCTATAGCCATCCTCACAAAAAAACAGCTGTTTCTTGGTTGTAGGTTATGTAAAAAATTACCAAGAAAAGCAAGTTTGTGAAATAGAAATTGTTAACAAATAAATTATTTAATTAAAAATGGTATCACCGACACTTCCCTTGCTTGTAAGGACACGGGGGCCTGACGAATTTTGGCGCAAAAGAAAAATCTTTAAATTGGCAGCGGTAAGAGTGGAATTCTGAAACATCAGCCAATTCAAGGTATTAATGCCTTCCTATTCTTCTGCAGCATTATCGTGGCCGCCGTCGCAATGTTTACTCCATTACCATACGTAATGTCCACCGGGCACTGGTTTATGCCACCAAAGGTCGTAAATTGAAAAAATTGGATATGAAAGAGGTTTGTTTCCGGCACAGTTACTTCCCAATTGTTGATATTGAACTAATTTTGTTTTGTAGTTGTGGGATACCAGGCTGCAAGCTGGTTGTGAACAGTATGGCATATCTATTGATACATTTAAGGATTGCTTGGCCAGAAATAATATTTTATTGAATAGGTAAGTATAGCATTATGAAACGAATATGAAACTATTGTGGTCCTAGGCAATGAGACGTACTTACATGTTTATATTGACTGAGAAAGCGATTCTTCGCGGATCGTCACAGAAAATTGAATATACTAGGAGTCCCTAGAAACTCTTCAATATACAGATTTCAGACCGTTAAAATAATGTACGAAGTACCGGGAAATTGTTTATTTATGGGTTGACTGAAAACATTAATGGAAAGACAAAGACACACCACTCTTGTTGATAACCTGTGTACCCGCCTCCATGGAGTGAATAAGGATTTTCTTAACCAATTTAGACTTGCCAATAGTTTTATATCTTTTGATGAAACTAAAAGATAATGCGAATATTTTTTTAGGATTTAGGCAAATAATTCAATCGGTCTTACTCTCCTGCCTTTGGGAACAGATGATCTTTCGATTATTCCATTTGTACCGCTTTACAATACTTGTTTTAGATTTAAATATTACTCTTTTCTATATGCCTGATCAAACTGTCTGTCTGTCTGCCTGTTGTAATCACAGTATGAGTACAATAATCAAATTGCCTGTAATAAGCATTTTTGATTTTCCGAGAAGTCTGCTTTAAAAATTTTGTCCCAACATAGACAAACTCACATGCTTTAAAGCTAAGATATAAGCTTGCAAAAACTTGTAAGTTATCCGCCTATTTAATATTTGACATTTTAGGGACTTAACGAACCTCTTAACAATTTTAACTGGCATTTGCAGTTTTAAGTGAAACTCGGTGCTTATATTTTCCAAGATCTTTTTCCGCAATTTAGGGGTCATTCAAGTTATTATTGAATTTTAAATTTAACTAAACAGTAGGTCGATTCAGAAACTTTTATCGATTGAAAAGTTGTTAAAAATAATTTTGTTATTGTAAAAATAACAAAACAAACCATCTCAAAATCTATAAATAAGACTTTAATAGATTATTAGAAATTTAAGTTGAAGGTAATTTGTTGTTTGTGGTGGAATGTTATGTACGTACATATCATATTTCCCTTTCATAACTCATAATATTGGATAGAATTTTCCAGAACCATTAAAAAATTTACGGCTTTTGCAATTGCCAACTGTGGATTCTAGCTAATAACATTTATCCATCTTCTCTTCCAGGAAAGTGTTATCTGATTTAGCCATATGGGAACCAAGATCATTTGAAGCATTAGTCAACTTATCCCGTGAAAGAGCTGTGGTCGAAACCCTGCCCGGCCTTAATGAACGTTCTGTCATGAATCAAGTCTATGGCTTAGCCAATTTGAAAATAAAATAAATTTTAATTTTATAGTATATATTAGCCCTAGCATAAGTTGTTGAATAAACATATAAATAAAAAGAACTTTTCAACTTTTGTTTTTTCAAAAACAAATAAAGCGTAAAACCGTTTTATTTATCTTCAGACATAAAAAATGTACACAAAAATAAATATTACACTCTCCGAATCGGATATTAAAGGATAACAATTTATCCGATTATCAAATGTAACATTATTTGGATATTTCTTTATCTTGTATAGATTAATTTACAAACTAAAATGTCAATTCTCCCTCGTAAAAATATAGGGAGAATTAACTAGAAAAAATTAAACGATTACATAAAATTAATTTAAATTTACGACGAAATGCTTTGATCCTTTTGGAAGAATTCCAAATCTATTCCAATTTGGCCAAGATGTCAGATTCACGGAAGAGCAAATATTCTTTTTTGTCTTCCATTTCGACCTTGGTGCCACCGAATTCGGGCAACAAAATGCGATCACCTTCTTTGACGGCGGGTTTCATATGTTCACCAGTTTGCTAAAATGAAAACAAAACGGATGTTAGTCAGCACATATTGGAAGGGTTCATAAAGCAATGAAATACAAAGACTAGGCGTCGGCCCAAAGTCAAATTCCATTGCATTACGTTATTTCATTACATATTCATATTGAATAAATGATTTATCAACTTACAGCGTTGCGAGCACCAGGACCAACAGCAATGACTGTGCCTTCCATCATCTTGCCTTGAGCTTTTTCTGGCAACACAATACCGCCTTTGGTGGTGGTCAAAGTTTCAGCACGCTTAACCAAAACGCGGTCCAACATGGGGATAATTCTCTTGATGGCAGACTAGAATTAGACATTTTTGAAGAGAAACCAATAAAATTCATATAAAAGCATGTTTTCATTTATTAAAATAATCTCGCAAATCAATCTCTCCAATATAACACACACGCACAGTACTATCAATGTTCTAATTGTTTCCATCATATTACACAACACTACATAAGGCGACACCGGTTCCGGCCTTCAGTTTCATCTTTTATCAGTACGCACACCAAAAACCCTCAATAGAACTATCGAGAATCTATTCTTTAAATTATTTAATTGTCTTTGAAAACAACTCACCATTGTGTTTTGTAATTGTTCTTTCAATTAAACTTTATGAGGTAGTTTAATTTAAGTTTGGTGAATTTTCACTTCACTCGGTTGGAGAAACTTCGCGAAAATGCTGAAAATATGCACGTGTACGCAGAAAGTTCTTAACAGCTCGGCTTTTCTCGTGTTAATAATTTGAAAATTGGGAGAATTGGAGATTTTTGTACAAAAGAAGACTTTGGTTACTTTTGAGCGATTACCGATTTAAATCATTATTAAATAATTATTTGGTAAAAAATGCAACACTGGGATGGATACTTCACTAAAACGGATGACATTTGGCCGCGCACAAAATTGTGCAATAAATTAATAATTTAATTAATTAATTAATAATAAATACATCAAAATATGTATATATATACTGAAAACTTTATTTATCTCAACAAAGACTTATTTTAACAAACTGTTATTATTACCCGGCTTAGACGAGGGCAATTTTTATAAAATGAACGAATTTCTTTCATGCTTATCATCATCAACAGAAAACACAATGTCAATTCAAGATTATATTATTTATTTTATTTTTAGGAAACTTTCTGAGCAGACCATTTTAGTTGTATTTCTGAACGTGCTATATATTATCACCGTTCATTTGCATTTCAAGTAGCACTTATTTAGCGATAAGTTGCCAAACCAAAAAAATCAAAAAGTAGACAAACAACAATTAAATGTCAAAGCCGCACACGATCGTCTGCAATCGTCTTCTTTTATAATTTAAATCAAATAAATTTGACACTAATATGTCATGTCGTGGAGCCAAGCTTCTTACGTAACATCACCTTAAGATAAAAGCTGCTAAAGAAATTACTACAATAGGTCTATCCATTTAAACAAAAATTTGCAACAATTGTTGGATGTCGCCTGTAAACACAAAAGTTCTGCAAAAGAAAGCGTTTCGAGAGAGAAGTGTTTACAGTTCTTTTACTGAGAGAGTGGAACTTCCTGTCAGACAACCGTCTTCTTCATCAATTTGAAAACATCATTATTTTATTGTTGCTGAATAACTAGGCATTATACAATTATTGTTGTTTTATAACAACAAAGATTATTCATAATTAAAACAAGTAAAAAAACATTAAGTTCTGCGGGGCCGAGCTTTTAATACCCTCCACCTTAGGGCAAAGGAAACATTAGAACCCATTATGACCCACAAATACCAATTGTTAGACATATTCGTGGGAATATGTGACAAAAATCATAAAAATACCGAATATCGGGAAGTACCGCTATATGGGGCTATACAAAAACAAGGACCTATACATACAATGTTTCGCCAACGAAGCTAGAACCCATTATGACCAACAAATACCAATTTTTAGACAAATCCGCGAAGAAATGTGACAAAAATCATCAAAATACCGAATATCGGGAAGTACCGCTATATGGGGCTATACAAAAATGTGGACCTATACATACAATGTTTCGCCAACGAAGCTAGAACCCTTTATGACCAACAAGTACCAATTTTTAAGCAAATCCGAAAAAAATGTGGCAACTATCAAAATACCGAATGTCAGTAGGTACCGTTATATGAGGGCTATGCCAAAGCGTGGACCGATATATCTCATTGTCAATACAAATTGTTCTGCTAAATTTTGACGTTCTACATCAAATAATGTGGGATGTATCGTAATTTAAACAGACAGACATCGCTAAATCGACTTAGAATTTTATTCTGATTATGAATATATATGCTTTATGGGGTCTACGAGAATATTTAGGGATACAAAGGGAATGAAAAAGTTAATATAACCTCCTTTTTATGGTGGAGGGTATAAAAATGTTAATGCTACCAGGTGGTACAGCACGTTTATATATAATACATTAATAGGTTAACCCACTTTATTTGAATTAAAATTGTCATATACATTACTTATACAGGTAGACACATCGACGCAGCTGCTGGGACAATGAACTGTCAAACCAATTTTGATATTAAAAAATGTTAATTTTTGAAAAACAAAAAAAAAACTTTTCAAAAATGTTGATTTATCAATGTTCCCGGTCGTTGATGCATCTACCTATATTCTTATGTCATGAAATAAATCATCTCGAAGTAGGTTAACCCTTCAAAAAGTTCTAACGTAAACATGGCATAAAGTTTTAAGAACGATTTGCTAATTCTCATAAACTCGCTTGGTAATTGTCTGAGTACATTTTTTCCACAACATAAATTTATTTATACCCAAGTGGCGACCGCAGACTCAATAGAAGAGGAGCAAAATAGAAGCAATTTTAGACATAGTAATTAAATATGGCGTTTTCTTGTTCTATTTTTACTACCCTAAAATTGATTGTTATATATTAATATATTATTATATTATAATATAATAATACTGTTTATGTAGAGTAATGGGGGAAAAAATACAATGAGAAATAAAACAATTAGGATAGTTTCTTTTCTTGCAAAATTTGCTGGTTTATTGAATTGCTTTTGATGTGTTTTTTCAACAATAAGTATTACCTCTTTTCAATATGGTGTGTTGGCGACAGTGGTCGTGTTGGGTATTGCTCCGAAGACTAAAGACAAGTGAACGCAATGGTTCTGAGTGACCGCTGAGGGTCCCATGTCTGTCTACAATTACAACTACAACTACTTCAAGGGAGAGCAAGGTGAGCCTACCGACAACAACCAATGCCCAGCGACGATCCGCTCACTACGGTCTCCGCCAGGGGAGTTGTAGAGGAGATGCCTGTGCGCCAATCAGCATCCGTGATTGATCGAGCATTGGAAAGTTGTGGTGGAACGTATCGAACTTATACAAATATTATATTTCATTATAGTTGTGTTCCAGAACCTGCAAATTAGTACCAATTAGCACTAATTCTGCTACAACGCGTTCCCGTACTCAAAAAACTAGCAAAACTTGCAGCTCTCTCGAGAAAAAAATGGCGCTGAGTGGTGCACATTTCTGCTCGTTTTAGCTACATGAATTTGGCCGAGCAGAAATGTGCATATTGTAAATTTGACATTTAATTGGCAGGGCTAACAAGGTTGAAAAATGTATTGATACATTTCAATAAAGAAAATGATCAACTTGAAAACTAAAGGAAAAACTAATATTTGTCGTGCAAAAAACAAAAAGAGAAAATATGGAGCAACTGATGTATTCACTTTTGGATGATTCCAGCAGTGAAGAGGACTGGCTGAATGAGGAATCAGATTATTAATTATTATTATAAATTATTAATTTTAACTTATCGTCTTCAATACTCATTTTTTAAATGTTGGCGCTCTTTTCAGTAAGGTTTCACCAGTCCGATTTAGGCTGTTTACTTTTGGAATTTTGAATTTTGACATTTTATCGCATTTCTGCTAATTTTCCGTTCCCTTATTTTTTGAGCAAACCTAAATGAGAATGACAATTCAAACTGTTCTCTCTTCTGCTAGTTTTACTACTAAAAAAGTACTGGAACACAACTTATATTATATTAGATTATAATAATAAATTAAACCACTCCGATTGGATTTTGTGACATGCCTGATAATGTATTTTTTTGTGAAACTTCTACATCAAGTTAATGTTAATACCATATTATCTCTTGCTCTGTTCCAGAACCTGTTACAGGAATTTTGAAATTAAAAGGGTATTGTAAGGGGAATTTGTCAATTTCAGTCTTCCTTGGATTTCTGGACCTACCTTGTGAATTATTGTACCATGTGTCCACCCACAGTATCTACGATCTGGCAACACCGGGATAATGTCTGGTACCAGTTACTGAAATAACCAATTTGTTGCCGTCACTAATATTTTGAAGTTTATAAACTATCACACGTGTTTGAGAACGTGAAGTGCTGTTAAATTTGATATCCTCGCATATTTTAAATAAAAACCTTAAAAAAATGGGCAAAATCAAGACTGAACCTTTGGATGATACCACCAGCGAAGTTTTAAATGTAACCAATGTCAGTGTGAAAGAGGAAGACACCTACGATGACAAATTGAAGTACGTGAATGCCATCTCCCAGCCAATGGCCTCCAAGAAAATAGCCAAGAAGTGCTATAAACTTATCAAAAAGGCAATGAAACACAAAACCTATTTGAGAAATGGTCTCAAAGATGTTCAGACACGTTTGCGTAAAGGCGAAACTGGGTATGTATGAAGATGTGTTGGTCCAATGGAAAATCCCAAATTAATCCGATATTTTTCCTTTTTAGCTTGGTTATATTCGCTGGAGACGTGACACCAATCGATATCATGTGCCACTTACCTGCTGTATGCGAAGAAAAGGGTATCCCTTATGTCTATACACCAAGCCGTGCCGATTTGGGTGCCGCCATGGGTGTCAGACGAGGTACAGTAGCCCTTCTGGTCCGGGAAAATGAAGACTACAAAGATTTGTATGATGAAGTAAAACAAGATATTTCCACACTGTATGTTCCATTGTAGACTGAATATACATCCACACAGTAGTTTCTTTAGTTTGTTAAGCAATATGTTAAGAGATTTTTATAAGAACTATATAAAAAATCAACTTTTAGAAATATAACAAAATCAAAAAAAAAGTATCGCATTTTTACTGTTTCCATGTGGGGGAATGAAAACTACAAAGGCAGGTTTTTTAGTTTGTCCCTTAGGGATCTTTTTGTTTTTTTTTTATTTTATAACTTTTTTTCTTTTGTTTTCATATAATTTTTAAAAATTTTCTTTTTTTGTTGTTTATACTAAATTACTTTGAAATACATACATAATATATACTTTTTTTTATCCATTTGTTTATTAATTTTAATTACATATATAAACTTTTTTGTTTTCTATTTGTTATATATTTATATTTTTGTTACTCGTTTCGTTATAATACAATTAAAATTATTTTGCATAGAAAATGTCATGATGGTGAGGGAGGATGTTTATTAAAATGCAATGTAAACTAGTTGTTGAAAAAACTGTAAACTTATATCGGGTAAATTAGAGCAGAATTCTGTTAGCATATTTCTAAACAATTATAAAGGTTTAATGTATATAAAATATTAAGACAATGGACATCAAATAAGGTTACCGTGCAGTCCAAAGTTTTTTAAACAGTTTCTATTCTATATTTTGAATGGAAATTTTTAACGAAAAAGACTAAAAAACTATCCGATCGTAATCTTCTACTATATCTCGTTGAGCGACAACACATAAGTAGCCAAATTTTCTATAAAAAAAAGTCGTTGAATGACAAATTTTCTATAAAAAAAAGTCGTTGAACGACAACTTTTCTACAAGAAAAGTCGATAACGACAACTTTTCTATGAGAAAAGTCGTTGATCGACAACTTTTCTACATGAAAAGCCGTTGACCGACAACTTTTCTGTAAGAAAAGTCGTTGATCGACAACTTTTCTACATGAAAAGCCGTTGACCGACAACTTTTCTGTAAGAAAAGCCGTTGACCGACAACTTTTCTGTAAGAAAAGCCGTTGACCGACAACTTTTCTGTAAGAAAAGCCGTTGACCGACTACTTTTCTGTAAGAAAAGCCGTTGACCGACAACTTTTCTGTAAGAAAAGCCGTTGACCGACAACTTTTCTGTAAGAAAAGCCGTTGACCGACAACTTTTCTGTAAGAAAAGCCGTTGATCGACAACTTTTCTTTAAGAAAAGCCGTTGATCGACAACTTTTCTTTAAGAAAAGCCGTTGATCGACAACTTTTCTTTAAGAAAAGCCGTTGATCGACAACTTTTCTATAAGAAAAGCCGTTGATCGACAACTTTTCTATAAGAAAAGTCATTGATCGACAACTTTTCTATAAAAAAGTCATTGATCGACAACTTTTCTATAAGAAAAGTCATTGATCGACAACTTTTCTATAAGAAAAGTCATTGATCGACAACTTTTCTATAAGAAAAGTCATTGATCGACAACTTTTCTATAAGAAAAGTCGTTGATCGACAACTTTTCTATAAGAAAAGTCGTTGATCGACAACTTTTCTATAAAAAAAATCGTTGATCGACAACTTTTCTATAAAAAAATCGTTGATCGACAACTTTTCTATAAGGAAAGTCGTTGATCGACAACTTTTCTATCAGAAAAGTCGTTGATCGACAACATTTCTATCAGAAAAGTCGTTGATCGACAACTTTTCTGTAAGATAAATCGTTGATCGACAACTTTTCTGTAAGATAAGTCGTGGATCGAAAAATTTCCTCCTATAAAAAAATCCAATATTATTAAAAACCATTTTTTCAAACAAAATCCATAATTAAATTCCCAAACTTAGCATGAACTCCCTTGCATCTAAAACTTAAAATACAATCTGTGTAAACTGTAATATACCAGAGAGGAGTTGCTTAATTTAATCAGTTTCCTTAACTGTTTCAACTAAAATATAAAATTAATTCATGATTTTTTTTTTGTATTTGTATATATTTTTAATATTTTTTTCTTTTTTTAAATGTTTTTGCTTTATCTGGTTTTACATAAGCTTAACAGTAAAATGTGTTTTTAATGATTGGTTGTTTTTTCGGTTATTAGTTTTGTTTTTTTATTTTACTTTTAGTAAATGACAATTTGTTTTTATTTTTTGTTTTACTGAATTAATAAAAAGCATCATAATTAATAATTATAATAGTATTTGATAATAATAAAAAAGAAGTAAATAATAAACACTATTTAAAAAAAATATTTTTAATATATAATTAATGTTTTATATAGATAATAGTTTAATTTTTTGTTGGTTTTGCATACATATACATATAAAAAGTTTTTTTTTTTGAATTTTTGTTTTTTTTTTTTATTATTTTTGTATTTAATTAAGTAAGAAATATTTATAAATTAAATGTATTTACTTTATTTTCTCTCTATATGTAATAACTTTTCTATAAAAACTAATAAAAAATAATGTTAATTTATGTTCCTTTTTTGTTTGTTTTCTATGAAAATGATTCTTTTTTTTCTTGAAAATTTCTAGTTGAAAGTGAGAGTTTGCAAAAATGATATTTTTATCGAATCAAACTACTGACATTTTTTTGGGAGATTTTATTGAATGTTAGATTCTCGAGAATCTCTCACAATTTCCTGCTCTTCATATTATTAATGAACTGGGAGTAGCCACAAAAATTATGCTTTAATTTCCTAACTTGAAATACGAAGTCATAAATTTGAATTTTTGTTTCATATTTTAGTTTGAACAATTTTAATATCTTTCCATTTTAGCTTCTGCATGTTCATTTATAAGCTGGACTGCTGGTAGTTAAATTGGCCACAGATGCGGAAATCCTAAAAATTTTTTATATATATTTTTACAGTTTTAATAAAAAATATTATGACCTGTAACCAAATTAAAACAAAAAAATCTTAAGTTTAAACGTATATATCGTTTGGAATCTGAATATTACATTTAAGTTCATAACCCCTTAATGTTGGTGCAAAAGAAGCTATTAGCAGACGAATCGAAATGAAAAATGTGTTGAAATTGGAAAATTGAAAAACTGTTGAAGAGAGATTGATTAGCAAGATTAATAACTCCTATAAGAAAATGCCATAAAACAAGATCTATTCTTCCTATTTAATTTCGTATAAGTGCAAATTTTTAGTGACATAAGAAATGGTTTGCAATTCCTGGTCTAGTGGAACTTGGATTGTTCCAAAGCGTAGGTACGATTGTCGTGGGAACGTTAAAAAACTTCGTTTATCTACATTCCTATAAGACAAGGTATTTTCTAACCTGTCAAAGTCTCTGAAGAAAAATGAAAATTTATCAATAAATGAATAACTTTTTTAGGTTAGGTTAGGTTAAAGGATGCGGTCCATTGCGTTTAAGAAGATAGGAGAATAAAATAGAGAGAAGAAAAGGAAATGAATAGCGGATAGTGAAGAAGTGATAATCTGAATAAATAGTTCTTCTTTTTTTGAAACGTTTTTCAATTTTCTAAAGTTAAAAATTATAATTTCGTCATGTGGTTAACTTTCGATCAATCTTTGCAATCTATTTTAAGTTCACTCGAATTCGAGCGAGTTTTCGGAGATCATATTTTTATAGAACAAATCAGTGGACCAACATTTTGGGGGGTTCAAGTCAAGCGGCACTAGAGGCTTTTAATTGTTTTAAAGCTATGCCAGTTTTGGAGTAAAGAAAAACCTTGGGGAATGCTGGGTTCTTGGCAATTATAATATTTCGGGTAATGAGCCAGCAAATGAATTGGCAAGTTTGAGAATTCGGTTAGACTACTCTGTGCCACTTCTTTCGTGGGGTACACGATCACTACTCCGGGAGATTTCAACTAAAATGGCTAGATGACAGGGGATTTTATGTCCATCCCTAAGAAAATCTGGCGTATAATCTCCGAGGAGAAACCTGATCATCACAGGTCAGAGTAGAGCCATGGAGTAGCTACGATACTGATTACTGTAGGACCTGCCAAGACAAGGCAGTCGAACATTTGCTCTGGGTCTGTCCAACTCTCATTAATGTAAGACATAGGCTCTTGGGAGAGCGAATAACACAGGCTCTGTATTCTATGTATTCTAACACCGGCCCTGCAGGTCACTGCAGGGTTAGAGCCATGGAGTAGCGACGATACTGATTACTGTAGGACCTTCCAAAACTAGGAAGAAAGTCGAACATTAACTCTGCCTACTCTCGTCAATGTACGAACCAGGCCCTTGGGAGAGCAAATAACACAAGCTCTGTATTAACTGTATTCTAACACAGTGCCTGCATGTCATTGCAGCGTGAGAGCCATGGAGTAGCGACGATACTGATTTCTGTAGGACCTGTCAAGATGAGGAAGACGATCGAACATTTGCTCTGGCACTGTCCAACTCTCATCAATCAATGTAAGACACAAGCTCTTGGGAGAGCAAATAACACACGATCTGTATTTATTATCTAACATAGAGCGCGAAGTAATTCTTCAACTGTTCGTGGACTCGTATTTAATTATCATATTATTTCTGCAATCTCTTCTCTTTTCCCCCAATGGACCAGCAGGTTTTTTGATCGAGCTGTAAGTAGGTTTTCATATTAAAAATAGTAAACAGTAGGAAATGTTTTTTTTTTTTTTTTTTTTGAAAAACAAAATTGCAAGGGACTACCATGGGTATATCCCTTTTACAAAATTGTGTGATGGGTAAGAGCAATTCTTAAGAAAATCAAAAATTTCCTCCCACATTCTTTTTAATTGAATTGAGGAAATATGGGAGAGTTGTGAAACAATCCATCATGAGAGATTTATAATTATCAGGGAATACGTGTAGCTTGATTCGATTTTATCATATCATTTCACACAAACACTAAATATATTTTTACTAGAAATGGGAATAATTACATTTTTTGTAACCCTTTTTTTTTGTAAACCAAAATTTTGTTATAAATAATAAATGTTAAATATTTGGCTAATTTGGTTCAAACTGTTCTCTGTTACTACGAATATTTTGGTTGTTTTTTATTTTTAGCTCTGCCAAAATTCTTTACATAGAATGGGAGGAGTGTGTTTGGGTTTTGTGGGTTCATTTTCATTGAATATTTTTTTTTATTTTTACATATTAAGTTTTAGTTTTTCAATATTTTTTTTGTTTAAATAGTTTTATTAAAAACTTTTTTGTGGTATCATAGTTTTATTTTTTTCCAGTTTTTTTTGTTTATTTTATTTTGTGTTAATTATATAGCTTAAATTATGTAAAAAGAGTCCTATATTTAAGTTCACAATAAAAATCTTATACATACATATATATAAATTTTATATAACTTTTTTCAAATATTTCTTCCAGTTTTGTTTTCATACAGTTATATAATAATTAATTTACAAAGTTTGCAAAATTATTTTTGTTTACTAATTTTATAACATGATTTGTGTTGTTTCTATAAAATATGTTTTATACATTTATATATATATTCAGTATTTTTTATTTTTATATTAAATATATTTTTATATATAAAAAAACTCAAAATAGCTTTAGAGAGTTTTTTTGTTGTTTTTTTTTTATTTGTTTTTGTTAGCAAAAATATTTATATCTATTATAATTCTAAAATGTTTTAATTAGCTTTTTTAGTTCTTTGTGTGTTTTTAATTTTTATTTATTTTTTTATTTAAAGAAGCAAAACTAAGAGTTCCCAATATTGTTGATTTCAAGTCCATAAAGGCAAAGAAACATTTATTGTATAACTAGCAGTAAGGTAAGTGGGGACAAAGGCCCCCCAGAAATTTAAAGACTTAAAGAAATTAATAAATTAAATTTCGACAATACATGGATACTGGATAGCTAATAGAACCTAGAAACAATTGCCAAGAGATCAGGAAAGAAAAAATGAAAATTTTGAATGCAAAACCTCTCAGAATAACATTCTAAAAAGATGGTAAAATTGTTTCGGGTAAGCTACCTGTAGGTGTTGGCCAGAAAAAGTCTAAAGCTGCCGGGATGGCCCTCCTTTCCAATTTAGTCAAAACTTTGAATAACAGGAAAACAAATCTGAATAAAAAGTTTCTAAAATTGTTAATTTGAAGTCCATAAAGCTATTATTCTCAATTAGCAGGAAGGTGAGTATGGACTTCATATAATTTCTGCTTTAGAATAAAAACCTAAAGAAATTCATAAATCAAGCTGCGGGGAGATGCTGGACAGCTAATAGTGGCATAATCTAGAAACAATTGCAAGGAGATCAGGAAAGTAATAAACTTGAAAAAAAAATGTAAATGAAGAATTGAATACAAAACACCTCAGAGGCTAACAATCTAAGGCCAAAGATGGTCAAATCACTCCGGATAAGCTACCTGTAAGTGCCGGATAAAAATCGTCTCACTTGACAGTTTCTACAACACGGCCACTTTTCTGTTTGGCCAAAACTTTGAATAACTGGAAGTCAAATCAAAAGTTAGGTGTGTTGTGGCCACAATTGGTCACACACAAACACGTCCCATGACGTTGTTAGAGGCAAATGACGGTATTGTAATTTATTTTCAAAAATAAATCATATTTATAGCCATTAGTTGGTGGCTATACTGATAGAAGATATTTCAAACAAACTTCTTTGCTCTTCCTTTAAGAATACTGGTGTTGGTGTCAAGTCGGATTTAATTCAAAACAACAATTACTTGCGTTTAAACTCAAGATGTTTATGTTTTTTGAGTAGAGTCACAGTCTAGCCGTGTTACTTTACCCCGTGAAGACAACTGATTTCATGCTTCAATTGTTGAAATAACAAATTTTGGCTCTATGAAGTAGGAGTCCACTCCAGAAAATTAAAAAAAAAAAAAACAATCGTAAAATTGGGAATGAACGAAAATGTTCAAATTCTAAATTTTTTTTAATGTTCAGTCACCAGTGTTTTTCGTTGTAAAATTCAACTCTTATTGAAGGCAATTTGTCCTGCATAAACTCCAGGTTATGCTAAAGCTGTAAACCCCCCTTCCGTACTTTAATTCGTATATACCCCTTATATTTTGTCAGTGGAGAAAGTGAGAAAGTCTATCTTTTGGTGTTTTTTTAACAACCCAAATTATCTATTCAAAATATAATTAATGAAATGTAACAGATTTGTTTTAGATCATAAAAAACCTGCTAAAGAAATCTTATTGGCAGTGCATACAAATTAGATTATTTTGACAAAGTGCTGTAAACTTTTTTTAAATATTTTTAAAACTCTCAGATTTGCTTCAAAAAAATTCCATTAAATTATTGTTGTGGATGTGCATACTTTTTTTCTGTTTTGTTTTAAAAATTTAAACTTAAATTATTGAAAACGTTTTTTTTTTATTTTTTTTTTTGCTTTTTTCGATTTTTGTTTCTTTAAATTCTATACTATAATTAATTAAATAGCTAAAAAAGTTTATTTTTGTTTTTTTTTTAAATTAATTCATAATCAAAAAAGAAAGGAGAACATTCAAATATAATAGAATATCAAGTCATTGTCCTGTTGACTCTGACATACAACAACAAAACAAAAGGTTTCAAGGTTTAAGGCTTTTGTTTTTTGGTAAACGGTGCACCCACCACATCCCAAACACAAGGTGCACAAAATAACTTTATTTTAAAGTTTGAAAAGCTTTAAAGAGTTTTCTTTTTTGCCATAAAAAATATGAATACGTGAAATATACAAAAAAGATGTGTTGTGGTTTTTTATATTAAATAATTTCAAATGAGCTAAGCGCTAAACTAAAATAATAATTTAAAGCTAAACTTATAGAACAAAATCCATATTTCTGTTTTTCTTTTTTTTTTTCTTTTTTATAAATCGCCAAACAAATACTAATTTCTATCACTTTTCGTTTCTTGTATTTCGGTTCTGTTTTACCCTCTAAGGGTGGTTTTTGTTCCTTTTGCCTAAATGTTGGTTTGTGTGTGTGTTTTTTTCTTTTTCTAAATAAGTTGCTCGTTCTTTAAAATAAATATTGTTTTAATCATACATATAATGCAAAAGCCTTTCCTTTGATGCCTTTTGGAGTTTATATATTTTTTTCGAATTTTTTCAATAAAATAAGTTTTTATTGAAAATAATTATAAAAACCATTCGTACCTTGACCCAGTTCTCGTATAGCTGCAAACGGATCCTTATCTCCGCCATCACCATTTGCTGAATTGTTTACATTCAAACCCAGGCCAGCTAAACCATTGCCAACCAATCCAGCTGCTCCTCCCGGACCTGTAGTTAGGGCAGCATTATGAGCATAATTATGATGCTGTAATGCTTCTTGGGCTTGAGGACCTTGGCTCAAAACGGCAGCATATGTGGTATTGCGGCCATCGCCAGCAGCACCTGTTGCTGTAGTATTAGGACCTCCAATGATGTTATTGCCACCACTTGAGTTTACACTATTTGCCGAAGTTTGCTCATAATTGGGCGCATGAAAACTATTAGCCACGCCATCGGTCAAGGCATTAACAAAACTATTATTGCCCATAAACAAATCCATGTCGCCGCCACCAACACCTCCTTTAAGGCCACTTGCATTGAAATTATTATACAATAATTTTTGCAATGTGGCATTATTCTGTTGCTGATGTTGGTCTTGAAATAGTGCTTCAATCAGTGTATTCGAACCGGTACTTAAACCAGCTAATATATCATTGGGACTGCTGTTTAGAATATTATCTGGTGTAGACGATGAAAGCGAATGACCACTAGTAGATGCCGATGAATTACCGGCACTGTTTAAATTGTGACCATTTCCCATTGTAAGGCCTTGACGTCTATACAGGGGTACCGACGATGAGTTTGATGATGTTGAACCAGCTCCGCCTCCCGATATATTTGGACCCAACATAAATTCTTTGTTATTCAGCAGAGAGTCTAGAAAGAAGAAATAAAAGTTAAAACGAAGTTCAAAAGGTTTGGAATATAAGTAAACAAGTTAAAAATATCGGATATATACCCTCAGCATTTGACCATTAAGTTATGTATAAAGTTGTTGGTATTTCTATTAAGATAGGACCTAATTACATATCCTATTTATACCCTCAGCCATATGGCTAGAGAAGGTATATATCATTTGATACGGCCAAAACGTGCCTTATCGAAATAACGGTTTTAGACCCTAGGTCTCTTTGGACCCTAGGTCTCTTTGGACCAAATTCAAGACATTTGGAGTCGATCTAGCGATGTCCGTCTGTCTGTCTGCATCCGATTTGATCCAAACTTGGTATATTGCAATATTATTGTCAAACTTAGATCGAGTTCGAAGATGGGCAATATCGTTCCACTCCTTCTGGTACCCCCCCACAAAATGTCAACATTTTTAAAGAAAACAAGTAAGGATTTTTTTCTGTTTTTGGTTCATTTGAACCCCTAAATATTTTGCGATCAACTCCAAAAGCAATTTGACTATATTCGTCAACGAAATCAGCATAAAAAAACTAGAAGTTCGCCTATTGTGTATTTCGGATATCACATGTAAGTAATGTTGGTATTTTTTCACACAAAAGTAGTGGTCCATTCTACCCGCTGTCTGAAATTCTAACTTCATGCAAGATTTCGTGTTCTTTGGTTTCTATTTGTGACCTTTATAACGGCTTTTGAGTTGCTTGTCTATTTCAACCCCTAAATATATTGCGGACATCTTTGAAGCCCTTCTGAGCCTAACCCTACCTTTGTCAAAAATTTCGTGAGGATCGAACGATAATTGCAATCTGTATATAAATAAAAACCCCAACCTGTGTTGTAAAGTGCAAAAATATTACAAAATATACACTTCAATATTATAAGTCAAATTGAAAAAATCGCATGCGATAAAAAATATGAAAAAAATAAAAAAATGTCACAAAATACTACAAAATCTATATTAACATCATTATTGATATCTTTTTATGCGATTTTTTAGATTTTATACTTTTATGTCAAAAGGGCATTCTAATTTTAATTAATAATAATTTTGTCAAAATCGCTTCAACCATTCTGGAAATATAAACATTCTAGCTAGCATCTCCTTCCTTTGTATATATACATTGTATATATTTCGCTATATATATCCGATATTTTTACTATCGGCATCTACGTAACGGTCAGATTTGACCTTTCGTCTATTTGTGATTTCGCCGGCATTAAAAATATTCGCGTTTTAATGGATAATTTGACTTTTATTTATCATAAATGCTATGGTCTATTTCAACCACTAAATGTTACCCGATGACCATCAAAATTGGAAGGCTTCTGCCCAGCCCAAAGCTCCAGCCCCATGCTAACTTTCGCTTCGATTGGTCTATAATTGTGACCTGTAGAGCAACTGCAAAATCAGGAAATTTTTCAGTTTTTGGTCCATTTCAACCCCTAGATATTATGCGATCATCTCCAAAAGAAATAGGGTTCTATTCTGACACTAACACCACCTACATTTTAAATTTCGTGAAGATCGGGCCATAATTGCGACCTGTAGAGTGATTACAAATTAACATGGACAGACGGACGGACGGACATACATAGCTAGATCGACTCAGCTCGGTGAGATAGGAAGATCCATATATACTATCCTATGTGGGAAATAAATATTTCGTGGTGTTACATAATTTTTACATAATATTTGCATCAGTGCCAGGTCAGGAGCGAAAATGGACAATATCGGCCCACTCCATCAAGTACCTTCCCAACAGAGGGTCAAAATTTTGAATAATTATGACTCTTATAAAATGTAATGTAAATGTCTGATTGCCGTTAAATAATACGCATAACAATATTTTTATTAACCCAAGATCTGGTGTGAAGATGGAAAATATAGGTCCCCTCCCCCACATAGTGTCAAAATTTTGAATATCCATGATCAGAGATCAAGGTCACTCATATCCACATAATGAAGCTGGACTTGAAGCTTGTGGTGGGTCTAATTACAGGACACTGCAACAAAAAGGCCATGATATCCAAATAGGCGGTGACGACACTGAATACTGCAGGCACTTACTCTGCCACTGCCCAACTCTTGTAGAAGTGAGACAGAGGCTACTGGGTAAGCAAATTCTGCCAGACTTGTCCTCCCTCTGCGACATCGAGCCAGTTAGCTAGAAGACTAAAATGGCTAAGGACGACACGCTGATACACCATGGACGCAAACCTACTTTCTTCTCTACTCTTTATTCAGATTCTCGCTTCTTCACTATCCGTTATTTATTTCCTTCTCTTCTCTCTATTCTATTCTCCAATCTTCTTAAATTAGGATGACCACAATGGACCAATAGGTCTCTGAGTGGAGTGGTGGTTTATACAACCGCGCATCTATTAACATAACCTAGCCTAAGCTCATAAAACACGAAATTACCATCTGATTCCATTCATACTTGGCAAATTTCAATATTTCCTTGAACACAAACCAATATGGAGGAAATCGGAGCATTCCCTTTGGTACTTCCCCCACAAAGGGTCAAAGTTTTGAATAACCAGAACGATTATAAAATCCGACATAAGCATCTGGTACTCTTCAAATTAAATACATCACAATATTTTTATTAACCCATGGTATGGTGTGAAAATGGGATATATCGGTCCACTGCTTATTTTACCTCCCCCCACAAAGGGTCAAAATTTTAAATATCCGCGAAGGACATAAAACACGAAATTATCATCTGATTCCATTCAGACTTGACAAATCTCAATATTTCCTTGAACCCAAGATCTGTTACCAATATGGAGGAAATCGGAGCATTCCTTTTGGTACTTCCCCCACAAAGGGTCAACGTTTTGAATTACCAGAACGATTATAAAATCCGACATAAGCATCTGGTACTCTTCAAATAACATACATCACAATATTTTTATTAACCCAAGGTCTGGTGTGAAAATGGATGGGATTTCGTCCAAAGGGACCTATCATCTAAACCTATGTATCGATAATACGTTTTAGCCGTATCAAAAGATATATATCCTCTGTACCGAATGAATAAGGGAATAATAAAGATAAAAATATTATATTAAACCTTTGTTCTGCGTTCTAACTTATTTGGAACTTTTCAAAACATGCTACTTACTATTTCCCATAAAACCGCTTGGTGGATTGGCGGCGCCTTGCTGCTGCGGTGGCATTCCACCCAACATACAATTTGGTCCCATCGTATTCTTGGCCATGTTACCCTGATGATTATTCATGACAGCAGGACCGCCACCCCCACCAACGCCATTTGCCGAACTTCCACCGGTGCCAATATTTGGAAATATTTTACTGCCACCCAATAGGTTATTAGACGATGATGAATTCGAGTTGAGTATCATATCGCCACCGTTCATTGCTGATGGTCCGGCATTGTTGCTACTACTACCGCCAGCAACACCGAATAAATCTCGCAATATGGGCTGTGAAATTTCATTGCCATTGAGTATCGAATTAAAAACCATATCGATTTGTTGATTAAAATTAATATCCAAGGGTGGAGTTTCATCGTTGAGACCAACATTTGATGGCATGGGATTACTGGGCGGCGGTAGTGGACCCATAAAGGGGTTAACATTCCTTTGAGGCGGTTGTTGTTGCTGCTGGGGTGGCTGTTGTTGCTGGTAACTCATCAGTGGTTGCATAAAAGAGGCATCTCTTGGCATAAGTTGCTGCTGCTGCTGTTGTGTTGGAGGCTGTGGCTGAACTCCCATGTTATTCATATAGGTTTGTTGCAAATGTTGTGGAGGTTTATTTACCGGCTGTTGAGGTTGCGGCTGTTGTTGCTGCATCATGGTGCTTACTTGTCGCAACACTTCGGTAAATTTATTGGCAGCATCTTGACCCTGTGTCTCCAAAAGCTTTAAGTACCACTTGTATTGCGATTCTTTCGGTTCAAAGGCCATTTCGTAGATATTCATATTTGGCGGCAAAAGTGAGGCATATTCGTGGGGCTGTGGGAATCTTAGTGCTGTAGGTGATTGTTGCTTATTGGCCGAGCCAACCATGGCATTCGGTGGTGGAGGTGGGGCTTGGAACATTGTTCCACCGATATTCAGTGGAACATGGACGTTGTTTAGGAATTGAAAATCTTTATCTTTCATGGGGCCTGGTAGATTGTTTTGTCCAAAGAAGGCGGCGTTCTGATTTGGTGCCGCACCTCCAGCTGCAGGTGGCCTAGGCATAAAAGGGTCCATAGGACTTATGGGTCCATTAGGTATGCCGCTCATATTACGTTGGTTCATCATTTGCAATTGGTTAGGCGGTGGTGGGGGTGCATTCCCCTGTCCACCAAAACCTCCAAAGTTGCTATGCACCTGAGTTGGTGGCACCTGTGCACCCTGACCGGGATGTTGTTTGCCAGCGTACAGGGCTTTATTAGCCAAATAGCCTAAGTCATTGGGATTGTTTCGCATTTGTTGTTGATTTGATAGAGGTGGTGGTTGCAAGGGAACACTCTGCCCTCTCATGTTCTGGCCAGTTTGCTGCGAGCCCATTTGCCGACCATTGGCTCCATTGGGGTTGGGAGGTTGCTGCATTTGCTGTTGTTTTGGTAACACAGTCCAAGGATTTGATTGCGGTGGTGGACCCCACAGACTTGCATTTGGATTTTGGCCCGTCGGAACGCCAGATTGTTGACCAGGAGCAGATCCAAAATTTCCACCACTGCCAGGTGGCCTAAGTTGTTGTTGTTGGGCGTGTTGCCACGGCATGTACTGGGAAAATTGATTGCCACCAGCTCCATTTGGTGGTGGTTGACCCAAGTGTACAGGTGGTGGTGGTGGCCCCCGAGGATTGAATTGTTGCCCACTCATGGGAGGAGCAGATTGAGGAGGCTGCTGAGGACCACCCGCTGGGGGTGGACCTATGGCTCGCATGGGCATATGATTTGGATGCCCATGGAAATGGTGTCCACCTTTACCGCCCACCATGCCTTGATTCATCATGACAGCTGCTGCAGCAGCTGCGGCGTTATATGCCGCTGCCGCCGCTGAATGAGGTCCATACATATGTGGCATTTGTTGATTTGCCATGGCAGCTGCATGATGTGGTGGTATTTGTCCCGAGCCACCTCCGGGCAATAAACTTGGATGTGGTCCCATACCACCGGGGCCATGATGATGTCCTGGATGTGGGCCCATTGGATGATGATTGTTGGCAGCCATGGCATAGTACATGGCAGCTTGATCACGTAAGTAAGCTTCAGGTTGTAACGAACGTGGTATAAATTCGGGCGCGAGTGGATTAAGGACATATCCCCGCTTTAGTTCGACACCATCGAGTTGAGAACGCAGTTGCCACATGGTTATACCAAAAAGTGACTTATTTTCATCACATATCTCAATGAAACGCTCCCAAACTTTACGACATCGTCCTATTGAACACAAGGCCACCGGATCTCCAACTACAGCCACCAGACTTTGTGCTCTTGTTATTGCAGTGTTAAGTAGTTTTGAGTTACTTAAAAATCCATAGTCGGCGTCTTCTGAAGGACTAGACGATTGACCGGGAAATCCACCGCCGCCAGCTGTGCCCCCAACACCACTACCACCGGCGATGGGTAAACACGTTCTTCTCGTACGTACCGTTGATAGAAAAATGGCTCGAAACTGTTTGCCCTGGACATTGAGAACACGTTCAACTGATATGCCACCCATTCGCCTTTTGCGCAGCTCGGAACGAATTCGAAACACCTGATCGGCATAGGGTGTCATTATTCCAATGCTGGCATCATTTATTTTACCCCACGAACTAGGCCATTTCTTGCGCAGCTCGGACACACGTTCTACTACTTCATAAACCTCCGAATTATTGTAAAAAGCTGTTGAATTCTTATCTTGAACATCTTCACCACGAGTTGTAAAGAACGTGAGAGGATAAAATTTCTCATGTCTGGGCTGTTTCCCTGATGCTATCAGTTTTTGCTCATAGAACAGCTCGGATGTAAATTTTATAATCGCTTCATGGGCACGATAATTTTCACACAATAGAATTTTGCAGGGAAAGTTTGAAGGATAATGATCGTATAAACGTTCCAGCAATGATATATGCAATTTGCGCTCCTTGGCAAATGCCGAGAAGAGTTCAGGGCTCATTTGCATGTGATCTCCAGCCAAAACAATGCGAGTACTATCATTGGCTAGGGCCAGTGGCATTATTGCTTCACATTCCATTGCCTGGGCGGCTTCATCCAAGAATATGTGGGTGAAGTAACCCTTGGGGAGATCTAAATTGGCCAATTCCATGGATATACTTAGAGTGACGACCACAATTCGATGTTTCATAATATCCTCGACCGTGGGACGACGGAAATTGCCAGCACCATCAGTGATACAATACTAAAAAATGCCATAGAAAGGGTAATTAACAATGGATCGCAGAAGTCTAAATTGCATTCTTCATACTTACTTTTTGCACTACACTATTGACGGTAGCAACCCAACGTTTGTGATAGTACACCCTAAGAGGAGTAGCTTCTTCCAGACCTGCTTCAATCCATGGATGAAGATATTCCTTAATATATAAATCAGCCGCCGAATTTGAGTGTGTACATATGAGTATCTTGGCTTCAGGCTGTGTAAGCAGCTGTTTTATGGCCTGGGCCAGTGTGTAAGTTTTTCCCGTGCCAAAGGGTCCAATCAACAATATGGGGGGCAGTTTTATGCTTAGCGTTGTAGTTATGGCATTCACAGCCTCTCTTTGCTTGGCATTCAGTTTGGGTTCGCAAGACTCCGACCATTGTTTCTTCGGTGTCCACGGTATGTTGGGTTCCACTTCAGTGGCTGGGAATATAATTTTAAAATCGGTAATTTTATCAACGGCATGATGCCATTCACAATATGGTAGACGATTTAGTTGAAATTGTATGTCCACATGCAGTTCGGTGTCGGCCTTCAATTTCAGGGCCTCCACACATTTAGACGATAATTTTAAGTAGATCACATTCTTGCCCTTGTCTTCAATAACAGCCTCGTACACATGGCGTTTCTTATCGACGCCGAGATTCGCTTCATCTACAACAGATATATACACACTGGAACAATTGGATAGAATTAAACGACCTGCCGACGTATCCTCTGAAACGTCTTTGCCCAAATGCATTAGAGCAAACAGCTCACCCGATAGCGAATACTTTGCCGTACTTGTGGCCATGCCTGCCGGAGTAAGTATGTAATTGGATGTAACGTTCAGTTTTGTGCGCAAATTGAAGCGCGCAATTTGTTCGTAGCGAGCAATTTCCTCGACGTACAGCAACTCATGGATACGGGAACGATAATTGTTCTGCGTCAAACGTTTATCCAGTATTGTCGACTGTGTCAGGGTAAATGTTTGCGCTCTGGGACAGGGATAACGCTCGAGCATTTCTTTCTCATGCTTTAAGTCATTGAGATAGCCTTCAGTCTTCATGTGGGTACCAATGGTAGTTTCGAATTTCACCAGGTGTGTATTGGATACATCCCATCTGGTGGCCGAACTATTGATTATATCACGTTTGATTTCCTCGATTTTCTCCGCATCACTTACTGGGACTACATCCACACAGAGATGTCGCACCAGTATTGGCTCTGAACCAAAATCGAAACAAACTGCCTGACGAAATGTGCCATAGATTTCAGTGTGGAATTCGACCGTGACATGATGTTCAACTGGTGTACTGTTGGTTGTACATGTAGAGGATGATGACGAAGACGACTCAGCGTTACTATCAGTGGTGGACTTCTTAGATTCCTCCTTTTCCGAAGATGAGGTGGATGTTGATGACGATGATGTAGATAATTTTTGTGGCATCCATTCCTGGTTTGTTTTTGCATCCAATTCATAGGTTGTATCTGGTGTTTTTATGCTTTTCAATGCGAAATGACTACGATGAGCATCCTGTAGCAGGGCAACGGCTTTTAAGGTCTTACCGGTTGTTTTTAATACGAAAACCCATTCGCGCTTTGATGTTTTGGAGCTTATGCTCGTAACCAAGTCTTGTTCACAATTTGCTTCTATGCCATCAACCTTTTCGCACATGATCTTTTCGGGTGCGGTGGATTGTATCCATTTCTCTAAGATTTGTTCGGTATACGATTTGCCGTACAATTCTTTTTCACAAGCTTTCTGCAGCCGCATGCGCCTATATTCGAAACGCTCCTTCCATTCGTTAAGTTCATCTTGACCATGGGCTTCTACACACTGATTGCCGTAGTGGCAAAGCTGTGATTCTGTCCACGACTCACAAAGGCTGTAGGAGTCCAGGGTAAAGCCTCTGGGCGGTGGTCGCCATTTCCAATCTCTGCCCTCATCTGACATAATGACATTCTGATGGGCTTCGGTTTGACAGTGTTGGCGCAATTCATTTCGGCTACTGAATGTAATCGCACAATACGAACAAGTTGTGCTGTTGGCATCTTCTGATGTTGCCGCCGCATCATCGGCTGTTGCTGTTTTATTGCTGCTAGCGGAACTGACACCAAGTGATGCCAACATGAGACCAGACATATTATTGAGAGGTCCACCACCATTTGGTGTTGGATTTTCACGTTTCTTAATACCTTTGATGTTGGTATTACTACCAGTGGCACCTGTGGCACCCACTCCTCCACCAGCACCACATAAATGTTTACTGTATTTGTCTAGAGCCAGACTTTTGCTAGCCCAGTTATCAAGTTTATTATCCAGACTGGCCATTTTATCATCTAAAAAGGCTAAATCCATTAACTTTTGTTCGGATTTATCATAGCTGTACAACATATTAACAACAAGTCGGTAACCCTCCAACACATTGCAAATTTCATTGAATTTACGAAAACGAAATTGTGCAATCCATTCTTTGAGAGTTTTTTCGGCTTCCTGCAAAAGAAAAGAAATGAAAATTATTAGGCAAAGACGTCACATTTTTTTACTTTAAATTAAAAAAGTTTAGAAGTTTGCAAATCGTCAGAAAATTCGGTCTGTCTGGTTAAGTTAACGAGTGCTGGCGTTTAAAGTGTCCTGCGATTCGGAATGAGTGTTGGTCATTTTATAAAGAATCGTGTACAACATTCGAACTAGGATCATTATATACGCATCACTAAGTCATGTATATGGGCAGGATGCAAGTTATCATATGCAACTGGAAATTGAATACCGGACTAAGGGAAGTGTAGTGTATGCTGGCTTTCGAGCCATATCTGAATAACAAAAGTCGCGGAAATTGATAGATATTTTCAAAACGACACGCGTTATATTTTCGAAAAAATGAATCCCAGCCACCACTTTTCTCAAGAACCATTGAAACATTTCTACTTACCACATATTTTTTGAGTTTACATAAAGCATGTATTTGCCATTTTCTCGTTCGCGACACACTGGTCAAACAGTCAGCAGGTTGTTGTTCACTAATCATGGATAACAGTTTGCGGGCATCAGCCAGACAAGGTTCATATTTGCCTAGCTCATACAGACACTCGCAACGTCCCAGCAGGCAGATAATATGACGATCTTTTTGTACACGATTCCATGTTGGTGCCGAAGCCAAGATCTCATCATATAATGTGGCAGCACGTAACCAATTGCGGCAACGCACCAAATCGTGAGCCTGCTTCTCTTTGTCCGTCATGATAGCCATGAGATTTGTCGAGTTGTTCTTCATGGTGTGTTTATTTGTATTTGTGTATTAAGCATTAGAGAAAGGACTCGGCTTGTGATAAGTACAAGGACTAACCTTTTCTCCAGGGTTATTGTTTGTTTATTTTTATTTTTTTGTTTTGTAATTTTAATCTTAATTTACAAATCTATTATACATTACTTTTAATTTATTGCAATTAAAAGTTATAATGCTTAATTAGGACATTTTGATAAATTAAGTTGTTGTTGTATGTGTTATTTATGGAAAATTTTCTACAAAGAAACAAAAACAGACGGCCATTACTAATAGGTTAATATTTTCAAAGATGTATGTTGATGTTTTGTATAAATAATTCAGTTAACTGAATTATGATTCTCCAGACGACTATAGGTTTATGTCTCCGGGAAAAAAGAGGACTATCAGAATTACAGAATATTAAATAAAGTACATAATTATATATCATAGTCGTAAAGAAAACATATGTGTGCATTAGTCCATATAAAATAATTTAGGTATTCTACGTTTAGGCAGTAAAAAACTGATGGATGGGTACAGGACTTTCATTATTTTAGATTTCGTTATAAATTTACATCAGTACGCTCCTTGTAATATCATCATATGGTCTTGAAGAATTACTAAACGAAAAACTAGCAAGCAATTATAGGTGTGCGAAAAATTGGTAACTCTGGAATGGCAGGTAGACTTTGTGGTATAAAATGATCAGTCTTACTAACGCATTAACTTCGACTTATAGGGTCAATGTGAAAAACTACTTTACCGTTTCTGTTAAGAAATAATATTCTGTATGAACAAAGTACAGGGTGAGATGAAAAAACTGCAACCAACTTCAGACTGCTGCCATTTCAAAATTATTTCAGTGACAGCTCATTATATTGCTTACAAGCGTTCAAAAGTATTTTAGTGAGAATTTTCCAGAAAAAAAGTTATTTGTGATGAAATTTAAGCGTGACAGTGTGATTTCTTTATATTGGATTGGAAAACCACAAGTGGCTATTGTTAGAGCACTCCAGCATTTAAATGTGAATAAATCTTTCGTGTTTCGTACCATCGCTCGTTACCGTGATACTGGTAGCGTAGCCCGACGTCGAGGAAGTGTACGGAGGGAAACATCAGCATCAGCAGAAATGGTTCGAAAAGTAAGTAAAGTAAAGAAGCGACTTGATCGAAACCCGCATCACAGTCGCTGCAATATTCCATTCGCAAATATTGAAAAATGAGTTCGGGGTAAAGCCATTGAAATTCCAAAAAGTGCAAGAACTTAGACCACCAGAACTTAAGCGCCGGCCATGCTGATGGTGTGGGCCGCCATAACAGCCGATGGTCGCTCTCCGTTTGTATTAATCGACCGTGGCATAAGAATAAATGCCAAATATTATTCTGGAGGGTGTATTAAAGCCTTGGGCACGCAAACATTTTGGCCGCAGAGCAGCACGCGCCACCCAAGAATGGTTACAAAATGAGGTTCCTCGCTTCATTTCCAGCGCAGAATGGCCACCAAAATCTGCGGATACCAATCCGTTGGACTATTGTGTCTGGAGTATTTTGGAAAGAAAGGTTGGCACTAAAAATACCAAAGTGTAGATCACCTCAAGCAAACGATTCGCCGGGAATGGGCCAAAATACCGCAGAGCAAATTTAAAAAAAAATGTAAAAATTATGGCGTTTAGCTTTGTCGCAGTTTTATTAATCTCACCCTGTATATAGCGTCTCATTTTCCAGCATTCTTGTAATGAAGCTTCTAATTGGAAATTGTTTATTGATATGGATTATTAAAAACCCCAATAGGATTTATAAGCAATTAGTTGGAATTAGTAAGATCTATTTTAGATACACTGACATTGGTAAGATCATTTCAATTTGGGTGTGTGAAAAAATACAAAATCCTAAAGGAAAGTAGACTTTGATTATAAAATAAAATCCTGCAACGAAGCTACGACGTTAATGCAACTATAACGTCGTAGCTTCGTTGCAGGATCAAAACTAATTGGCACTCCCTGTAAGAAATACTTTTTCGACTAAACTTTGTAAATACACTCAGTCTCCCCCTTTCAAGTGTTCCTATAAGGAATATTCGAATTGGAAATTGTGTTATTGATATTGATAATTAGAAACTCCAATAGGAATTACAAGCAATTAGTTGGAATTAGTAAGAACACTAAAATTGGTAGGATAATTGCAATCATACGTGTGATGTTTTTACAATTACGTTCTTGGTCTGCTCATATGGTTCTAGTTCAAATTTTATCAATTGATATACTTGAAAAGCCTGGAGTTTTCAGGATTTTGGTACGTTTGTCAGGTATCCCCCAAACAGAAATTATTTACAAATATTAATAATTAGGGACCCCAATAGAAATTATAAGCAATTAGTTGGTATTAGAAAGACTTATTTCAGAGACATCGAAATTGATAGGATCATCTTAGATCGCAGTTGGAAGATATTTCGACATTTATGGTTGTTGGTGTTATAGCAGTTTATGTGGGCGAGCTTGTTCTGCGAATTTTAATTCCAATTACCAGAATTAGTAAGCTTTGAGATTATCTACTGTTTTTAAAGACATCGGTAGTATCGTTGAAATCTTGAAATATGTTATATTTCGACATATTCTGAGCTTGTTCTGCTAAAAGGGTTCTAGTTCCTAATTTACGAATTGTTTTACTTTAATAACCTTAAGTAGTTGGTCATGTTTGGTGGTACAATTAAAAAAATGGAGTATGGCTCAGTTGTTTTTCAACTTTTCGTCAATGTGATTTGAGTCGGATGTAGCATTAATAACGTCAAGGTCAAACTATACCAGTTTTATCATCAAGGCAAACGAAGTCTTTTAGCTGCAATATGTATCAAAAAAATTACACCCACTTTACAACTTATCGACTTAAACATGCTGTCAAATATCACCCCTGGGATTTTTGGATATCGGATTTTAATGGGTATTAATTTAATGGTCCTTGCCATTCACACATTCAGCTGGGGAGAGTAATGTGGTCCCATTCCATATGCTGAGAATATGGTAAGGATAGGAACCGCTTCCATTTCAATAAAAACTGAGGTGTCTGCAACATACACTTATGTTACAACCTCTTAGGATTGTCTGGACACGTCGACCAATATGTTAAAAGAGTTCTTCATATCAGCAGTGCTTGTGGTAAGAAGTATAGTTGTGGATTTGTTGTCACTGACGATGGGAGCCAAAACCAAAATCTGCACATACATAGCGGTCTAAATAGCGACTATTGGTTGCGGAACGTCAAGAAATGTAAAGATTAGTGTTTTAAAATATGACACCGCATGGGAAACTCTCATGCCAAAAATAACGGAGTTTTTTTTTATCCTCGAACAGATGACATGGTGACCGTATCGAATTTCTTTAATAAGTGAAGAGACAGCTTGCTCTGGTCCGTAGGACGAAAATGTGCATAGTACAAACTGATGTAAAATTCCTAATTTACAGGTTGTGATTATTTGTTTGGCGTAATCGCAAAAACATAACTATAATATCCATGCAAAATGTAGCAGAGGATTTGCTTATTTGTTGAAACCTCTTCATGTGAGGACAGAACTTCAATGTCGTAAGATCTTCGTAGCTTTATTTTAATATAACTTATTAAGCTTGCCGATGAAATGATATATTGGTGCTTTAATACAATCCTTCTTGTTGAACCCATGTTGGTGTTTCCTTCAACAGAACCTAATGACGCTTCCGCTAATCCTTCAAAAGCTTCTATGTCCTAGTGCCCTCTGCTATTTTGATACATAGTTACATAAAATGGTTGATAGGCACTTTCTTTGGAGACCGATAGTACATTGCGAAGCAATATTAGAGAAAAGAAGGATTGAAACTATTTGATATCCAAATCTGCTCCAGGGACCATCTTCGACCCGAAAATCAGGGGAAAGTTGCGGAGTATGCTCTTAGTTGTTTAAACCTCTTCCTTGTCCCCACAGAACTTCCTTGTATATTGTGCAACATCATATAAGCTAGGTTTAAAATATGAAAAGAGAGCGGAAACATAATCATTGTTTTATTTATAAGTGAGTGTTATTTACCAACAATTTAGATTCCTAGAGTTTAGGCTTTTTAGCATAGCAATTTTTTTTTTTTGCTTCCAAGACGCTAAATTTGTTATTTAGTCTTTATAATTAGTCTGACGCTCAACTTCTTACGGTAACCCCTTCTATCATACATCCATACTGTCCAGAATTTGCTAGTTTATTCGATACAGGCTTGTTCAATTCACAAAGTTCCCGGAACGTTAAATTGTATTAAAATATTCTGCCGCTGTCGATATAGAATCGCATATAAGGCAGCCTGAGTGTGCTTCTTCCCATTCCAGTCAAATTTAGGTAATTGACTAGGCCACTAAACTAGAAATACATAGTTCTATAAAGTCAGTGCATTATATCCTTGTGGAGTTCAGTACAAGTAGGTAGGTAATTTTAAACAATTTTACTGAAGTTACCCCTCGGTGTCCTGAGTGTCCTGACACAATTCCTTGGGGAAGTCCATACTACCCGGATTATGTCCCCTAAAGTTCGACTAGTTCCTGTTAGCGTATGTCCAACACCAGCTATGCGAAACATGTATTTCTAAATTTGATACCTTCTTAAATATCCGGCCTTCGCCCAAGGCTTGAGACTTTCTATTCTGGCTTAAGCCACCCAAGGTTTTTTTTTCTAAATTTGAATATTTTTAGTAGCTTGGGATTTTCCCTCCGGTTATGTGCAACGCACATATTCGGTGCACCCTGATTCGGTCATTGGAATAAGGGTGCAAAATCTTCACTTTGGTACCCATACTGCCTTGGGTGGTCTTACAAAGACTGGAATTACAACAGACACTAACGGATCTTTAGAGGTCCATAACACGGCAAGTACGGCCCTCGTTGTCCGTATTCCCAAGGAGTACCGGTGGTAAACATTTTAGATGGATCTGCGAGGGGGTTCAATATCCTACTTCAGCCTGGGTTCTTCCAAGAGCTATTGTCGTTTCTACGTATTCCTCTTCCATCCTAGTTGTTGGTCGAGTTCTTCCGTAAAGAGTTTGAACACTTAGCCGAATTGAATGAAACCTCCCATGAACTGCCCTCCTCTCTATGGAAGTGACATCAACAGTAACTGGAATACCATAGCTGAGTTTCGTTGTTGCAATATATGTTTATTTTTTGTGTGTTTCTAGGGAGCTTAATACTTCACGCAACCACATTCTGCAAAAATTAAATACATTTTTTATTATTTTTAATTTGTTTTTCAAATAGCAAATTTGCTATCAAATTCATTTTATACCTCAATAAGGGACACCTACATTTTGTAAACAATCATCGTTGTTGTTTTGCGGTAAGTTGTGGTGCTTATGTACTATGCATGGAAGGGAGTACAAAAAAAGAGAAAGGGGTAAAAATAGACCGGTGATCGACCGGCTTTAAAAAGTGGGAGACGTTGGTGCACATACATCCACCTCGTTTTAACGCTTTGAAGAAAAAGACCATTAGAAAGAAAGCGAGAAAAGAAAACCAACGAAAACTATGTAATTTTTTTGTTGTCTTGTAACCACTTTGGATTTTTTGTCCCGGTTTCCTTTCATTTTTTCAATAGCTTACGAAAAATCGAAAAATAATCCATTTCAATATTCGTTTTGTCAATTGTGCGGATTTCTTGATGATATTTTGTTTTATATTATTAATTATTTGCACTTTTCTCTGCTACATTTTTTTTTTTGTTATTTTTGTCACTTCATTTCTTTTTCTCTGCACCCAATACTTTTTTTCGTTTTGTCTTTTATTTTTAGTGTACAGTCATTTTTTCGCATAGAAGGCGACCTTATTTTCGTAAATTTCCCTTAATATGGCTGCAGATTTCATTTCCAAAAGTAGCAACATACAATTTGCGAATATTTACAGCTTAATTACACTAATTTGCTACGTTTTCGCCAAAATATCGGCATAATTTTAATAAAATAACCATACCGTGTACTAGGTCTGTCGTAAATGGTCGTTGACTAAGAGACCGCATAGTGATGAGAGGAGAACAGGTAATGAGTAATTTAGTGCGAAATGGAGTAACCGGTAGTTGATATGAAATATGCAAAAATCACAATTAGCAAAATGTCTTAATTATTTGATTGTTGTTGAAAAGCATAACTAAAAAATGTGAAGAATTTTTTTTGGAAATGGATAAAAATTATCCACTGTAAGATAATAAAAGGTTTATATTACAACACAAAAGGGGTCTGTTTTACGAAAGTGAATGCAAAAGAAAAACATCATTACAAATGAGTTTTGTATATTTTTGTCAATTCTACTATTTTTAGTAGCTTGGGTTTTTTACTCTGGTTGTGTCCTACGCCTGCTAAGCTACCAAAATTTTTCCTATTTGGAGTAAAATCCGAAATTCTTTATATTTTCTGTTGTTTTGATGATTGACGACGGCAATATAGGTATCAATTACAATCTCCTGAAGTCCGTATTACAGCAATAATTCCACCGATAATTAAAGGTGGAAAAGACTTAAAATCTCGACCCAGAGGCGGTAATCCACAAACATTTTTCTTAAGAAATGAAAATTTCGTAGCCGATCTTGAAATATACAATTCCGGGCGTCCACTCTGAGACTAAAATTTGTGAAAGGAAATACTGTTGTGGTAAGTCTTAATGCCGCAAACGTTGCAAATTGATCTTCTCAGAAAAAGTTGGTGGGCCTCAAGGACAGTTTATCAAAACTACGAGCAATATATAAATGGTAAACAAGTAAAAAGGCTGTAAGTTCGGTCGGGCCGAACTTTGAATACCCTCCACCATTTGGAATGAATTAGGCAATTCTCAAAAACAATAAAATCCGTTAAAAATTCTATTAGAATCTTAAAAATACCGAATGTTGCTGTTATATTAGGGTCTATACGACGAGATGGACCTGCATAGCTAACTTTTGTCATAAGCCATTACAATATTCAAATGCGAAACTTTAAAAAAATCGGTGAATAATGGTGCGAAAATCATCAAAATACCGAATATCGGGAGGTACCGTAATATGGGGGCTATACGAAGACGTGGATCTGCACAGATTATTTTCTGTCTTAGTATTCATTACGAACTCCAAATAACAAGTTTGAAACAATTCCTGTGAATAATGTCGCTAAAATCGTCAAAATACCGAATATCGGGAGGTACCGTTATATGGGGGCTATACGAAAACGTGGACTTGCACAGACAATCTCCTGTCATAGGCTATAACATCCATTACGAACATCAAATACTAAAATTGAAAAATTCCGATGAATATTGTCGCTAAAATCATTAAAATACCGAATATCGGGAGGTACCGTTATATTTGGGCTATACCAAAACGTGGACCTACATGGCCCATTTTTAATACCAAAAGTCCTGCAGACAAATCGATATAGCATTTTATGCTGACCAAGAATATATATACTTTGTGGGGTCTAAAATGTATATTTCGAGGTGTTGCAAAAGGAATGACAAACTTAATATACACTCCATACTATGGTCGAGGGTATAAAAGCGTTTGACATTTTGATATTTTCGTAAATTCCATAAAAATTCTCAATGAGATTACTTGCGATTTAAGATTTTGCGATTACTCACAATTGAAACATCACTAGAAATACTCGTGTCAAATGAACCGACAGAAAAAAAAGAAATAAATAAAACCAAAAACGTAGTTGCCAGATACAACAAAATACGAGTAAAACAAAACAAATTTAAGAAAGAATAAAATATAACACAATTTCTGAGCTATAAATAAAAGAACTATATAATAGAAACATATCTATTATTTGCTTAATAATCAAAAAGCCTATTCTTACACATTTTTTTCGCTGAACACATTTCAAGCAATGTGGCCACTTTGTTTTGTAAAATTGTTTTTTTTGCACATAAATAAATGAACAACATTGGGAGAAACACACATACGCAGCATACTCAGAGTAAATAACATTTCACAATAACAATGTTTTGCATATTTCATTTCTTACTTTCAAACGTTTTTGCACACATTTTTTTATCCCCAAACTTTTATTTCAATGTTTGCTGCTTCGCCATCTATAAAATAGCAGCAGCTGTTAGCTCTTTTTTTGTGTTTCTTATTTTCTGTATGTATTTTCTCTCACACAATCACACACATTTGGTAGGAAAAATTCTTAATTTTTTCGCATCGAAACCATTTTGTAAACCACTTGCACGTTACATCATTTGCTTGCGTTACCTTCTATTCGCTTTGAACTCACCTTAAATGACAATTTTGGTTTATTTTTTAATGTTTATTAAACTATATATTTTATGCACTAATTTTAATTACATATTTAGAACAGAGAACCGAGCCATACTAACATTTTTGCCAGCGCCGTTAATGCGGACATGGTTGAAGCGGTTTTGAATGAACGGCGTCCATGGCGAATGTTTACCTATCGATTGTTATTATGTTCGATTAAACGATGTAAGGCCATATTTACACCCGTTGTATTAAAATGCGAAATATAACATTTTCAACCTTTATATAATTGCAGGGTATACTAATTCCAATGTAGAAGAAAATGAAAATAAACAAATAAAATAAATAATAATCATAAATAATAAAATAAATAAATGCTTAACTCTAGTTTAGTAGAAACTCAATTTTTTCGAAATGTTTTCCAGTGGTAGGTATATTTACCCTGATCCCCGGAAACTATTTTTTTCTTGGGGGACGGACCCGGGACCCCAGATTTTTGAATCGAAAGTCCGGGTTCAGGACCTCGAACAGACCCGGATCCAATTACCCGATATAGACAATATATGTGACCACTTGTTGGATAGGTACAGGATAGGTATTCATAAGCTTTCAAACGATACCTATATTGTCTACATCGGATTAAGTGGATCCAGGACCGGATCTTGAGCCCGGACATTCGGGTCAAAAACCTAGTGTCCCGGGTCCGCCCCCAAGAAAAAAATAGTTTCCCGAAATCAGGGTAAAAATACCTACATCTGGAAAAAAAATTTCGAAAAAAATCTAAGAGGTTTTACTAAACTAAGTTGTTCCTAAATAAATACTAAATTATTTTCATTTTTCATATATAGGATTTGAAATTCAGATTCTTGATTGAATTCAATATAGATCCACGGTACAGTTCTCAAAAGCAGTACTTACAGTTATTCTGTTTTTTGAAAGATTCTGACTGCAATTTTCCATCGAATCGGCCCTAATTTAGGATTTTATTTTGCATTTTTCAATCTATAGGGCTCCTATATATGATAGATCCAGTTTTTAGTTTTGACCACTATTTTCTACCAGATAGCAGTTTTCCCACAAAATAGAAGATACTTAAAAATAAACAAAATCACATAATAAATAAAACTTTTACATTTATTTAAAACTAGGATCACAATCAAATTAGTAAAAAATTAAACATTAAAATAATTAAGTTAATTAACAGTAAAATAACTATTTTTTAAACAATAAATACAAACGCAATGGTTAAAAGAGAACATTATACAAACACTTAATAATATTGACGGGCGTAACAGACCTCCGCCATAATAAGATCACAATGTTTTGGATTGATTATGCCCATTTGTTTGAGATCAAATGCCGTTAACATTTTAAAACTAAACAAATCGATTTCTTCCCTCTGAAAGATGCAGTTGTACATGGACATACCACGTCGGTGTAGAATTTTAGAGACATGAGGACATAACGGTTTTATGGCCACCGGTGATGCTTGACGAATGTGATGTAATTGCGGTGCCACTGTTAGCCGGCGCTGACGTTGTTGCTGTTGTTGTGGTTGAGGCTGAAGAAATGTTGGTTTGTTTTGAAGGATTTTTAGCTTTTGATGGTGCTCCAGTTGCTGCTGTCGACTAATTTTTGGAACAATAATGGACACAACGTTATGATTCCTTTGCTTGAGCGGGGTGCGTACATTTGTGGGTGTGGCAACGTAGTCCTGTGGTAACATATTCTGTTGTTGGCCTTGATCAGCATTAATAATTTTAATAAATGGACGTTTTTGATATGCACTCGACTGCAAATGTGATGTTGCACTTAACTCCCGCTGTTGTTGTTGTTTTTGGTGACAACAATGACTTGCCGATTTGGGTGGATCTTTGAGTTGGATACGTTTCTCGAATTGTTTCTCCTCTTGCCGTTCAAACACATCACGAATTTTACGAAAACGTTCGGAGAAACGCTGCTTAGGACGCATCGGACTATCGGTTCTAGTCTTAACATGATTTACTTGTTGTTCTTGCTCGTTGCGATGCTTCTCTCGAATATTCTCAATGTATTCGTCCAAAGATCCATCGCCACCAAAATTAAAATTAAATGCTGTATTCTCGCTGAGCGGGGTTAATGGAGTCAATGGTGAATTGGGCACTAAAATTAAATATTGTGAGGTTATGTTTATGCAAAATTAAAGTTTGAAAATTGGGGGCGACTTACTTGTTTGCAAATAGGCATAGCGTTCCATTGTGATTTTTTAATTTGTTAAGAAGATACAAAATAATAGATGCAGGTTTATTAAAAACGAACTACAAAACATTTAAATTAAAAACAAAAATATCAAATTGAAATATAAATACACTTGTAAAAGAAAACACAAATAGAAAACTAATAAAAGAGGGGACCGTTATTTAGTGTTGCTTCAGTCTATGATGCATATTTGTTACAACCCTGTTGCTGGTCTAAAATTGGTATTAAAATGCATTTACACGTCGCTGAGTGGTAACATTGCTCATACCGTCTTTACACCAGGAATAGTTTATTCTATTGAGGTGAATCGGGAATAAATGCAATTACTCTGTTCCATAACCTGCATTAATCTACAGTTTCGTATTTTTTTCGACATCGGAAGAAAACAAAGCAAAAAACAAATGTCAAATTAAAGACTTCATAAAGAAAATATTTTTCATTTAATTTCAAATAATAATAATATCCACCTTTGATTTTTTTACAATTAACCTTGTTAAATTAAAAAGCAGGTTCTCCGTTTCTGGCCGGTGAATACATCTTTCCGATAGAGAACAAAATGATGTTGTTGGACAAATAAATCGTTTTTCGTTATTACAAACATCATTTAAATATGAAGTTTCCGACAAACCTTTATCTTTTAACGTGAAGTTTGCTGAATTCATGTTGCCATATTTTATATTGATGATATGGCAATAAAAGCAAAATGTACTCAAATAAAAAATAGACAACGCAAATAATTTATTTTATATTGAAGAACGGAATTAAAGATTTACTTGACAAAATTAATTACAAATTCGCTTTGTTTTTTATTTTTAAATTGAATGAAAGATGCCACTGTGAAAAAATGCAGTGACTACTAGTTAAATTTACAAAAATATTGCCTATCTATGAAAAAATGCATTTATTTTAAAGGATCGACGTAATAATGAAAACCCGATAATGTGATCTTTATACTTTATTTTTTCTAAAGTAAAGGATTACCATGGTAGAATTAAGAAGGTAAAGCCAGACAATCAAATTTTTACAAGTTTTTCAATATTATTAATTTGGCAATATTTCATTGTCAATATATTTATTCATGAATGTATTGTATGCACACAAACCAGTGATGGGAATCTGTTTTCTACACAGTTAAATATGACAACGTAAATTAAAGTAAGTGCGGAGCTGGGAATACTGATTGAAAATGAGGTTACCCTTACCATGGGGATAACAAAACTGGACTATAAAGAAAATATATAAAAACGGGCCTCTGATTTGTGTATATAGGGTGAGATAAAAAAACTGCAACAAATTCAAACGCCATAATTTTTATATATATTTTTTTAAATTTTATTGTATGAAAGCAAAAAATGTCGGAAATAGAATCAAATTTTAGAATAAGTTTAGATTTGTTCGAATTAGTTACCTCTGGCACGAATTGTGGCCTTCAAACGGCCAATGAAACCATCATCCGCAGCCCGAATATTGCTATGCGGTATTTTGGTCCATTCCCGGCGAAGCGCTTGCTTGAGGTAATCGACACTTTGGTATTTTTTAGTGCCAACCTTGCATTCCAAAATCTCCAGACACAATAATCCAACGGATTGGTATCCGGAGATTTTGGTGGCCATTGTGCCCTGGAAATGAAGCGAGGAACCTCATTTTGTAACCATTCTTGGGTGGTGTGTGCTGAGTCCTGTTGGAATGTCGAAGGTCTGCCGCCAAAATGTTTGCGTGCCCAAGGCTTTAATATACCCCCCAGAATATTTTCGCGATAATATTCGGCATTTATTCTGATGACATGGTCGATTAATACGAGCGGAGAGCGACCATCGGCAGTTATGGCGACCATCACCATAGCCGGCGCTTGAGTTTTGGTGGCCAACCGAAGGTGCACTTTTTCAGCTGACCCCTTTGGCAAGTAAACACGATCATTTTGTTTGTTTACAAACTGCTGGACAACGAATGTTTTCTCATCGGAGAAAACCAAATTCGACAGTTCACCACTTTCGGTCAAGCGAAGCAACTCTTTAGCTCTTTTGAGTCTATTTTTTATTGTAAGTTCTTGCCTTTTTGGAATTTCAATGGCTATACCCCGAGCTCATTTTTCAATATTTGCCGAATGGAATATTGCGATATGTTCAGCTCAGGAGCCATTTTTGGGCCACTGCGACGCGGGATTCGATTAAGTCGCTTCTTTACTTTTCGAACCATTTTTGCTTATGTTGCTGTTTTCTTCGGTCTTCTTCCTTGATGTCAGAGTACGTTACCAGTATCATGGTAATGAGCGATGGTACGAGACACAAAAGATTTATTCACATTTTAATGCTGGAGTGCTCTAACGATAGCCACTTGTGGTTTTCCAGCCAAATATAAAGAACACGAATAACTGTTTTTCTGGAAAATTCTTACCAAAATGCTTTTGTACACTTGTAAACAATAAAATGTGCTGTCCATGGTGGCAGTTGTTTGAAGTCTGAAGTTGGTTGCAGTTTTTTTATCTCACCCTGTAGAAAATATGTTTTCATCTCTGATTTGTGTATATGCAATGGATTTATAAATATATATTTTGACAAATGCTATTGTGTCTAATGAATATTTAAAAAAAATTGTGAACATATGATTGCATGACTTTACCTTCCTAATTCTTCCATCGCATGCTGAAAAAAAAGGGATTTATGGTCAAACTCCTTTGTGTAAAAGTTATATCATTAAGAGTTGCACACATGGGTACTTTTTGCAATAGAGACGTATACCAAACTTCTATGTAGGCGCCATTAACATAAATATAACTGTTTATTAATAATTAAAAGCGTGTTTTAGTTCTGACAAAATAAAACAAAGAAAACCAAAGATAGAAAAAGCTCAATAAAACATATTTTTAGACCATTAAAATTTCATTTAAAATAAAATGTCGGAGCTATCACTGCATAACAGTCACATAAATAGTCCAATGGTGATTGCTTCTCCATTGGCCAATTCCACTCGAATTCAAACCAATATTAGCAACAACAATACTAATATTGTAATAAACAATTATAATTTCAATCAAATTGTCATCAATGAATCGAAAAAGTCAAGCAAAAGTCAAAAAGCCGTAAGTGTAGGCAAAAAACCTGTTGTTTCCCGTAAAGCTATTGCTCCGAAGAAGACGGGCTCAGACATCACGATTAATAAATCTTCGGGCAATGCCAAGAAGGTTCATAGCGTCGAACGCATACTCAACCAAATAAACATGAGCAAATATTCCAATCTCTTTCGAAATTGCGATTTAAATAAATTTAAGGAGTTGCGTGAATTGGATTTGAATGCCATGGGCATAACGAGACCACAGGAAATACGTATATTTAAGGAGGCCATTTATAAGGTCAAAACCGAGCACATAAACACCATAGTTTAAGTTGGAATTTAAGTTTATATAATTAGAAAAAATATATGTAATGTTTGTATTTATTTAAAAATAATTGTATTTGTATGCAGGACACCATAAAAATGTTATATGTTATTTAAAAAACCATAGTAATTGTAATTTTATATTTTTAATTTTGTGTTTGTGTAAGTCTAATTTAATTGTTTTTGTGTGCCGGTCATTCAAAACATCTGTATTCTTTTATATTTTTTTCTAATAAAGATTCAAAACAATTTTTTAATCCCCTTAACCAACCAACACCTTTCGTTTTATTACCCATTAATTCGTATAGGCAGAAAGACCAGTCCCAAATTGTTGTTAATTAAAAAAAAAACCAGATTAAATGCGTTTCAAAGTAATTTTATGACAGATCCGTTAAGAGTTCATAGACATTTCATGTGTTTTGGGCAGTACAGTATTTGTAATTGTTTCAATTAGCAGTATTTTTTCTTTGGTGTAATATAGCATGTTGTGGAAGTAAATATAAATTTTGTAAATATATTTACAAAACTATATATAGTTTGATTCAAACAGGTTGTATGCAATTATACTGCCGAATTAATGAACTACGAAGCTAATGGTCATGTATGCACACTAGTCTTTGTGTCTCTTTTCCTCTATTGCGTTTGAAACATCAATAAACAGACATAAACGAGTAATTTTCAATAATTGTTCTATAAATTAGTTTATTGGTTTTAACACCTTACAGTACGTTTACATATAAATGGGTTATCCCAATGGATTTAGATTAAAATTGTCATATCCATTACGCATACTTCAAATAAATCCTCCTGAATTAGGTTAACCCTGCAAAAAGTTCTAACGTAACCGGCAACAAAATGTATAATTTTGGGATAAAACATGGATTAAATTTTTTAAGAAACCCTTATATTCCAATAAAGTTTTGGGGGGTTTCCGCAACATATTTTTTTTAAATTAAAAAAAAAAAACCAAACCAATTGTTGCATGTTTAAAAAGTCTATTGACATAATAAGACTCAAGCGCAGAGTTGCATTTTCCTAGATCCCTCGAAGTAAAGCTACCCATCTTATTGAGCCATGGCTAAACCCATGGTACAACAAGGTGGTATAACAGCTCCGTAAAACTATAGAAATACAGCCCTGAGTCTATACCCGCTTCCTGTCAAAATTATTCAAAAATATATGCCACAAGTTGTTTTCAGATTTCTAGTCTGAATTTTCTTTAAAGAATATGATCCAAACTGTTTAATCCTTCAATTTCATGGCAAAACTGGTTAAAATCTTTAATGCGCGCCCTGCAATGTAAATTTTTTCTCAAACAATGGTGCAATAAATAAGGTAAAGTCATGAAATCGTATGTTTACAAATTTTTCAAAAGCGTACATTCAATCATGGTACAATAAAAAGGTAAGGTAGAGCTACCGGACTTCTGCCAATTTTGTGTATGTATTTCTTGTTTTGAAAAATAAAAAAGAATATTTTCAAAATCAATGAAATGCGGTCGTACAGCTGGAAAGTAATTTGCTTTTATTTCAGACCAAATATTTTGTTATTTTCAAGCCTTTTAGAGGCAATAAACGTCAGGGAAGAATATAATCTAAAGCAGAAAACTTGTAAGTCATGTAATATTTAATTATGGAATGGTTGAATTTGGCTTCGCTTATGACAATTGTTTGCTAGAAAACTGGTAAAAATTTTCATCCCTCATTTTTAGTCGATCTGGTATTAAATTCGTTATAAACCAGTAAGGAAAAGTCAAAAGTCGTCCGGCGCCGAAAATATGATACCTTGCACCACTATG